AAGCTGACTCATAGGAGTCTGAGATCGTCCTGTGATGCTGTTATGGACTCCAGGGGAAGCTGACGTTTTAACATTATTCGTTCTGGATTCTTTTAAGTGGTTCCTAAACAGTAAGTGTAACAGGAGGAGTGGGAGTAAGAGTTTAACATTATAGAGACATAAATAGCCTAATCCATTTCAAGTCCTTTGACCTTGTGTGTCTTGGTTCACTCACTTCCTGTCTGATATTTGAGTCAGCAGCTGGTGTCTCACCAGTGACTGCTCTGTTTATGCAGTCTGTATAAGTATGAGTGCATGCATCGGCCTTGGGAGGTCCATTAGGAGGAAATTTTACTGCCTGCAGCTCAGCGTAAGAGCATAAACACTCAAGCCTCTCACACATGTGCGAGTGAGTTCACGGACCCTAAAACAGTCGCCCATATAAAGACAAACCATCTCATTCATAAAATGTTAGATAGTAATTAGTCACATGTTCTTGTCCTGTGTGTGTGTGTGTGTGTGGGTGTGTGTGTGTGTGTGTGTGTGGGGGGGGGGGGTAAAGGTGGGTGGGTTCAGTTTATGTGTACAACTGAGTGTTGTGCAAGTTTCTCATTAGTTAGTGTAACATTAATTATTACTTAGAGCTTTTATTTTTATATTTATGGATTAAATTAAAAACTTCAAAGGAACAAATATTTATATCGTCTCTCATCAATCTGTTCATAACTGTCTCTAGTGTCTGGCAGCTGTCAGTGCAATCAGTGGCCTGAAAATACAATAATAATACAACTTTTGATGATTTAAGCAGGAATACAATTTAATAAACCAGATGTTTTCATCAGCTACATTGTGTTTAAAAATAGCATAACACTTTAGTGCTCCAGTTGGATTCACTTCTTTTATCTTTAACAGTTTACAGACAGACGATTGCCTGGGGTTTTTCCATGCCAATAAATAATCAGAGTATAATTTCTGTGTGCAGTGGAAGTCATTTAGTCCAAGCCTATTTTCCTGCCTTAATAATACGGGGTTAGGTTCAGATGAGGTTGGTGAGTTCAGTGGGGATGAGCTGTGCCTGCCCTTTAATAACACATCAGCTCTAAGGAGCTTGTTGGTTGTCGATTCCCCCCTCTTGTCCCCAGTAAGCAGCTACAGAACTCACTCGGGTCTAGACCTCTCCTCAGCCGTCGCCCTGTCAGCCCCCAGTAAGCAGCTAAAGTACCAGGCTAAGCCTACACAAAGCAGACAACCCCATGTCTTATCTGTGGAATGCTGGGCATCGTCACAGAGGATCTCCTCCGCAGGGAAGAAGAGCTATTAGCTCAAAGCTCCTCGGCCGCCCCCTGAGTCCTGTCCCTTCTATCTCACTTTAGGCGTTTACTTTTCTCCTTGAGTCTCTCGCACACCTTATCTGTGGTTCGTTTTTGATGTCCTCTTTTTGCTTCTATTCTTTTCTGCACAAATTGAGATTTAACAATCTTCCCACAGATATTGTAGATTTGTGTTTGGACTTTTGAAAGTAGTTGAGAGAGCAGTTTGGGACTTAAAGTGACAAATTTAAACCAGACAAACCTCATGATGGAGGATAATGATGATGCTGTTTTGTGGTCTCTGCAGTTTTGCATGCTCTGGCATTTTAAGAGCTTGCATGTTTTTTGGGATTGTGGTCAGCTTGCCCAGCAAAAGCCATAAGTTTCAAGATGCTCTGCTTCTCGGTTCTCTTCTGTGACCTGATTCCGTTTGTCGTAGTTTATATTTACACTGTTTATGGAGTCCATGTGTTGTTTTTGCACATCACTCAGAAACAGACGGATAATGTTTAATCTCCTCTGAGGCAGAAATAACACATAAAACTTAATAAAGGGATGGGCTCAAGCTAGCTCCAAATGCATTAGATGCAGCCTTGATAGTCGTGCAGCAGCTCGATGTGGTCTGGTTTTGTGAAATCTTATGTGATTATTGTTGTTCAGAAGTTCCCATGACAGAAAGGAAGAGACAAATCACTATCTTTACCATTTTGCTGCAACATATTTGAAATCGAATATTCTCTTATCTGCATTGATAAACCAGCTTCTAAAATCCATAGAAACAGTTCTGAAAACTGAAAAGTACAATTGAAATTAAATTATTTTTTTTAATGCTACAAATGAGTTCCTCTTTTGACTTTGCCTAAATGTTTTAAATGTTTCTGCCAGTAAAACTTGTTTCTCAAACAGAAAGAGATGTTTCTACTTAAATGGCTAACAGTGATGGACTGTGGGCACTGGTGATTGCGGGACTTGACCCAGGATCAGTTTACCAAAGCAGTGCACACTTCCCCACCATGCATCACTTTAAAACAGACTCTTTTTTTCCCTGTGTGAGGGTTCAAGCTTAGCATTACTGATGAAGAGACATGCAAAAGGATCATTTATTAAATCAAATCTCATCTAGCTGCTGTGTTGGATTCACCCACAACAATAGATCCTCATTCTTTACAAGAAAGTGACAAAATCAGGAGAAATGTGTGGATGTGGGTTTTTTGCTGGGGATGAAATCAGTCCTGAAGTGTTTTTAGCTCTTGTGCTGTTAAACAGGATCCAGTATTATGATGAAAGATTCTGGTCCTTGTAGATGACTGTAAATCTGTCATCATGTCGTTCTGACAGCATAGCCACAGCAACTGGTTTGAAAGAATCTTGCAGTTGTGCTAATTTGAATGCTGTGGTGATGTGAAAGATTTATATGACCCTGGCCTGTGCAGGCTGCTGAAGCTTAGGGGTGAAGAGCATGTTTTATCTTCCTGAGACCAAAACTTTAGTTTGGCGTGCATTTTTAAAGACTGTTTTTAAGGATTAATAGGATCTCGTCAATAAGAAAAATAAATTTGGAGCAAATCTTGGTTTCAATTTTTACGAAATTAAATGTTTAAATTTTTTTTCATAAGTAAATGGGAATAAAATAATTTCAAAAAACAACATTAAAGCCAAGTTAATAATAAAATATATAATAATGATATAAAATTAAACAAATAAATTTTTTTTGCACTTTATTGTAAAATAACATCACAGAGGTTTTCATAAAAGTTGCCTCTAGAGATACATGATTTTTTGGCATCAGTATTGGTATCGGCTGATGTTGGTCATCCATCCATTTTCAGCTGCTTATCTGGGGTTGGGTCGCGGGGGCAGTAACCACTTGGGCCAGTTCCTCTGGAAGAAGCCCAATGCCCGGAACTCATCAACTGCAAATTGCCGTGAAGCGGATCGCTCACAAAATTTGCTCACTGCACGCTCCTCTGTTCACATCAGGTGAGATATCTCTACAAGCGCATCTGCTCATGCCTACTGTTGGGTAGCTTTATACAAGAGTCATTACCAACTAATCAAAAGCACAGACCCAAGCACGCTCCGTCACCAAGCCCTCCCCCCTCAAACCTAAACAGGCAGCAATGTGACTTAAACAAGGTGTTGCAAGGAGAGGTGGAAGAAATTGTCCCGAAGAAAAGGTTACAGTACATCGCCAGTGTGGCAATATTTTCATAAGTCTGACATAAAACAAACAATAGTGGTTTGCAACAGAGAACCGATTAAAAAAACAAGCCTAGTAACGCAACCAACTTGTTTTATTATTAAGTATTGGCCTAAGATAGTCAGGGCTGCACTTAAAATATATTTTTGACATTTTTATATAGTTTTCAATAATTATTGATATCGGGCAATGTGATTTTATCATTATTATTTTTTTATCGATAAGCTTTTTTCCTACTTCGTCCAGTCCTACTCAGAAGCATAAATTTGTGTGGCGTGTGTGTATATATTAATGTAAATATATATACAAACACACACACACACACACACACACACACACATATCATGTTTGCACTTCATAGAAATAAAGCAAGACATTTAGAAATTCAGTTTGCGTTATTTTCAGAAGCATAAATGTAAGTGTGTGTGTGTGTGTGTGTGTGTGTGTGTGTGTGTGTGTGTGTGTGTGTGTGTGTGTGTGTGTGTGTGTGTTAGCAAATATTGGTTACTGGTCATAACAGCGATGATAATATCGACGGTATTGGCCCAAAAATTTTGTATCATGCATCCCTAGTTACCTCATATATTTATTTATTAATAAAACCTGGTTCCTCAGAAGAAGATTTTAGTTTTGAAATATATATATTTTTTTGCATTAAAAGTTCTCAATAGTGATTCATGGAGGCAGATATAAACTGTTACAGTGCCATGTGGCTGCACCATCTTCATCCTGGCGCTTGGCTCTTCAGTCGTATATCACTCTAAGTATCTAGTGTGAAAATTGTGCAGTCACATTACACCATTTGTGGTTTAACCCGAGTGTTGTCATCATGGAGCGGAAGGGTTGAATTTCTGTGCACAATCTGCAGCTTGCAACTTACAATTAAGTTTCAGTAGCAAAACCATCACATGTGACCTGAAACTTCCAATCATGTAAATGTTCAGGCAGTGATTTTAATTTGTCTAGTGGAAATGGAGCCGAAAATAGGTTAACTCGTTTTTTCTTAGGATGTTGATTTACTGTTGGTTTTCTCTTTAAAATGGTTTTGGCTTTAGTAAATGACAAAAGTATTTCCTGAGTTTTAGTCTTGACTGTGTAACCTTTTAATTCTAAAAGGGTGTGGTTTGGAGATAATTTGGGGCCCATCTCCGAGCTTTTGTGCTTCTGCTCTCACTCTGCACATAGTTGAATACTGATTACAAAGAAAAAGGTTTGCCGAAGCAGACATTGTGACATGATGCAAAGATTACAGGACAATATTATCTGAAACTCTTAAAAAAATGTTGCTGCTACTACAGCATCTGAGCTTTTTCCCTCAACTTTAGAAATTTATAAATTCCACAGCTACTCAAGGCATTGCAAAAACCTACACCGCTTTACTTTACTGATGAAAGTAAGAACAAGGTCCTGAGTCTATCCTAAAGCCTTCATGTCAGATGTTGCTCCATTGTCATAATAGGTTTGTTTACGTTGAGATGATTGGTGCTGATCAGTTCATCTGTCGTCCTCAGGTGCTGTGTGGTGAGACAGGCATGCTGAGGCCACTCCCCCTGGCTCAGGATGAGTGTCAGAGATGGTGCTGCCACCATGGCGACAAATGCAGGTGGAGGAGGGGGAGGTGGGCTCACCAGCCCTAACGATGACCGTACATACATGCTTCAGATCTACCCACGGCTGGCTTCCCAGACCACCACCTGCTGCACCCTCAGGTGAGTGTCCCACCACTGTCCAGCTGGGGAATGTAGAAACAGCAGCAATTTAGCCTCTGGGAAGATGTAAGCTAACTCAGACTGTTTATGATATAATTTTATTTGAAGCAACGGTTTCTAAGGATTATTTGTCTCTGGCAGAGTGCATAAGGATGCAACCACAGCCTCAGTGATCTCAGACACTGCCGCGACTCTGGGGCTGGACCCCAGTCGTCTGTACGTGCTGGCAGAGGTGAAGGAATGTGGTGGGGAGGAGTGGGTTCTAGAAGCTGGAGACTTGCCGGTACAGAGGTTTCTGCTTTGGCCCCGAAAAGCCCAAGAACAGCATCCTCGGAGTCTTGGCTTTTACTTCGTGTTACAGGTAAACATGACAGCTGACTGGATGCAGTTTAGTCGGATGTGATGAATGTGTTGTTTGTTGCATCATCCTTTCTTTTGCTCTCTCTTCCTCTTTGTTTGCATTTTCAGAGAAATACCAAAACATGTAATCAATCTTAAGCAATAAGCTGTACAATAATATTTATAAAGTGTAAGCAAAACATTTCACTTGACTTAAAACCACATTATTCCTTTTGCTCTATCTGAGATCAGATTTTGTAAAAATAATCTGCTGTCATTTCTATTTTGTTTCCCTAAGGAACCCAACTAGTTTGACTTATTTTAACCATCTCAGTGTCAGCCCCAACAAGAAACTTTATTTCTTTTTTTCTTCATCTAGGAGAGGAATTACGATGGCTCCATTCAGTATGTCCACCTCCCACCTTTGTCCAAGGAGCAAGAGGTACACCGACTCGCTGCCAGGGGCTTCCTCCCCCCTCCCCAGGATGATTTTGCAGACCTCTGTAACCTCCCTGTCCTCACTGAGGACAGCATATTAAACAATCTACGGACACGCTTCCACAAGAAAAAAATCTACACGTATGCAGGCAGCATCTTCATTGCCATCAACCCATTTAAGTTCCTGCCCATCTACAACCCTAAATACGTCAAGATGTACGAGAACCACCAGCTGGGCAAACTGGAGCCTCATATATTTGCTATTGCAGACGTAGCCTACTATGCAATGCTCAGGAAGAGGGTCAACCAGTGCATTGTCATCTCTGGGGAGAGCGGCTCAGGCAAGACCCAGAGTACCAACTTCCTGATCCACTGTCTGACAGCACTCAGCCAGAAGGGCTATGCCAGCGGGGTGGAGAGGACGATTCTGGGGGCTGGACCAGTCCTGGAGGTGAGATGGCGGAATCTAAATGATGTCTTTTGGCAGTTTTTTGTAAACTGTTGTGGCTCAAAGCTTAGTGATCTGGTTTGGAGAATGAAATCAGCAGTATTAGTACAAAAGAACAGATAAATGAACATTTTAGAGAAACTACTGAGGAACACAGTGCATCCTCAGCATCTTCCCTCAACATTTTATTAACTAGAGTAAAACAATCTGTTCAGATCAGCTTGTTTCTGCATATTATGGTCTGGCTACATGTTAGGATTATTTTTTGAGTTAGTCAATTAAAACATTGGTATCTCAAAGGGATTCATCTTCCTAAACAGCACAGGATGTTAAATGCAGTCAGATACACTGACACCTTGTTGGATGAGGTTATAAATGATGAAAGTGAAAATAAAAAGCTAAAACAAAGACTGCAGTCTAGCCAAAAAGAAGAAATGAGAAAAAGGGGAGGAAGTTGCTCTTTTGTTGTTCGAGATGCTGAAAAGACCTAAAGTGGCTCTTCGTTGGTTCTTTATTTTTACATTTTAAGAACCGACAGATGTTTCCTGTAATCTTTACAATATTTAATCTAATCTAATCTTAAATTTCTGGCAGTGATGTTATTTATTTGTTGGGGTTCCAGCTTCATGCTTTCTCTTCTATGCTTGTACTGACTAGCTGTTTGCAGCTGCTGACTGAACTACTGTTTACTGATTCAGTGCCACATATTTTTAGACTTTGCTGAATATTTCACATGCATTAGTACTTCTGTCTGTAATGGAGCCTGGTTGATTCTAATTGTAGATAAATGAAGGGAAAAATATACAAAAGGAACTTGTTGCAGTGGTCGAGATATCTGTCTGGGATGACCTTTGTTCTACGCAGTCATCTGAAAATCATTTGGACTAAAATCCTTGTTCTTGGTTTTAGTTTGATAGCCTCTCTTGCTGTGGGGGAATTAATTACTTTGAGTCCGGATCTGGAAGTAAAGCTCCTCCACATACTTTTCAGTTTTATTTCACAATAATGTGACCAAAAATAGACTCTTAGTCAGAAAAGCCTTACGTGGAATGCAGTTTATACAAGTACAAAAAAGGGCTGAAAGCAAAAAGCCCAGTTTTAAAAAAATAAGTTTATTGAGAGAAAAGGTTTGGAAACTTTACATATTAAACAAAGGTTTAATGGGAATCAGCCACAAGCTGTTAGCTGGAAGCTCATGGCAACAGCACAATGTGGATGGATGCAGTAACAGGCATTCACTGTTTTCATCAGTCTTCAGTCACGTCTCAGTTGTTTCACTCTCATCCAGCTTGGTGCCTGAGAGTTTACTCTCAGAGCTGCTTGTTTTTTTTCTGATGCATGTGAATAGCTGCAGCGCCGTCTCTTGATGTGTGTCAGTCTTGGTTCTAGCTGACAGATCAAGGAATGAAAGAGGGAGGCAGTGGGGGATATTCCCCCCCCCCCCCCCCCAATCAGCACAGTTTTGGTCCCTTTTGGCAAACTGTTATTTTTTTGCAGCTCTCTATTTTGAAATTAAAGTATTTGCTTGAGAGCCCAGTCCAAAGCTGCGGCTGCAGGGGCAGACAGGACAATGGGTTCAGACTTTGTTGGCCCAGTCGGTGGAGGAAGTAAAAAAATGTGGATCTAGTCATATTCCAGATGCAGTTCATTCATCATGCCGACTAAACAGCTTTATATTTCCTCACGTTTTCATCTAAATAATTATGCATTCACCTAAAAAGGCTGACATTTTAGTGGAGATTGTTGCCGTTTATGCAAAGCTTCTCCTTATGACTCGATGTGAAAAGAATCGCGTCAGCATGGGGTGGCCGACTTGAACCAATCGCTGTTTTACAGATTAAATCTCAGTAGGAGTTTAGTATCACACATGTAAGTGACCTCACTCTGCACCGCTAAAAAATTCCAGTTTAGGAATAAGATATTCAGAGTGGAATTTTTTTTTCCTTTGACAAAATTATTTTATTTGATTCTTTTTGCTGTGGAACGCAATCAGATTACAATGCCTGTGTGTGCGTGTGTGTGTGTGTGTTTGCGCGTGTGTGTGTGTGTGTGTGTGTGTGCGTGTCTTTCCTTTAGCTATAGTGGAGGTCTTAAGGCCTGGATTTTGCAGAGATGATATCATTTGTGGTTCTGGATTTTAACTCTGTTCCAGGAATAGTTTAACCCCAGCTTGGGACCGTTGTGCTAGTCTTTATTTTTATACCCAGTTTGTTTTACTTTAATTTATCTTTGAGTGTAAAATATAAGAGACTGTGTTGACCAGCTTATGTGATCTGAACAGATACTGCTCTGCTTGCAGAACAGCTCACTACCTAAATGAGTGTTTACTTGTGAACTGGTTCAACTGGTTGTTCTCCAGTGGTGCAGTTACCTGTTACACTTCAGTATTCTTCTGTCAGAAACTGGGGCTTACTCACTTTCATTGTCAGCATAGCCTGTATCTGTTTCAGCACGTTGGCTTGTTTTAAGAAGAATTTTGTTAGAAATGTGTGTGAGTAGTAGGGGGAGAGGTTTTATGCTTTTAAAAGTGTGTCTGACAGCTGTGGTTAAAAACATCTAAAGCTAGGTCACAGGCTGACAAATAGAAATGTCAGAGTTTGTGTTACTTAGAAGCAATAAAGAGATAATCTGACGTCCTTTTAGTGATCAGAGATTATACATGGTTTCTACTAGGTATTTGAACAGCTTTAATTTTATGCATGACGTTTATTAGCAGTCCTACAACTGAAATTACAGTACGATCTTTTTTAAACAAACAAAATCTCAACTACGCATGTTTATGCTTCATCTCTTCCTCATAAAAAGGAAAAATCACTTGATAAAAGGTATAAAGTAAGATTTTTCCCCCATCACTGTATTACTGATTTATATGTATCATTTAAATGTATAGATTAATTTTAATAATAGTACTAATAATAAACTAAATATATAATAGTATGTATAATAATGTATTTTAGTGGAGCTGAAACTTTTTCAAACAATCCTCTGAGCAAGTTGGGCTTGTACTTGAAGCTTGTTGTCCTGAGGAACATTCCTGTTCTTGTTGAAAGTCACTGGTGTGCTCCATGTCTCACAGCTTCAGACAGGAAGTTCCTATCATCCGGAACCCTTTTTAACAGGAAGCAACTACGACACAGGAAGTAAAGGCAGTAGTTCCCTATGCTGTTAGCCCTGAGTCCTGAGGGGTGTGGATAGACCAGAGTACTGTATTGTTTGTTCAGGAAGCACAGAGGAGCAGCCGGCCATTCTGTCTGCTGATGTATTGTTTATCTCTTGTGTGTGAGTGGTTATTCAGGGTGGGTGGCATTGTGTATGAGTCTGAGAAACGCTGACATTATCATGGTGGAGTCACTGTGCCATGTCCCTGACTCATCTCACACACACACACACACACACACACACACACGCACGCACGCACGCACACACACACACACACACACACACACACACATAAATTTTATATGTGTGCACATAAGAGTCCTATAGTCATTCAGATTCCTGTTCAACACGATGGTTCAACAGCACAGTGAGCTTAAAAATAGGCCTGTATAACTTACATATTGCAGAAGGCTGCTGGCATCATCAGGCTCTATTTGTGGTGCTGTAACCACACCACAGGCTCTGGGTTTGATGTGGCACTCATCTTTACATGGGTGGAGCTGCTTTAAATGTCTCCAATCTGGTAAAACACCATACTACAAGGAGAGCAGAGCTGCTCCTACCCATTAAAGCCATTTACCATTAACGTGACTTTCCTGGTTCAGGGTGACAATACACACAGTTTGATGAATTCTCTAGATGAAGAAAGCCCGGTGTGGTCAGGGATTCTCAGACTAAATCTGCCCTAAAGATCATAAATATACATCTTTTTCTTCTTGGAGGTTTAAAAAAAAGTGTTGAAGTTTGTGATGCCCCTGGACCGCACACAGTGAGAGCTCATGATCTATTTATGTGAATGATTATTTCTCTTTGCAGTGGGGAAGTTAATGTACTTCAGAACTAATACTAAAGAACTTAAATTACTCTGTCGATCTTTTATACAGCTGCAAAGGTCACATTTTCCACAGTACTATTACTTTGTGCTAATTAGTTTTCCATTCACAGCTAAGAATAGAATCGGTCCACAACTGCATCCTAATTCAATTACAGCGTTTCATCATAACCAGAACTACTTTATATCCATTATGCTGTCATCAAACACAAGTTTTTTTCCAAAACAGCTAAGATGTAGCTGACTGATAAATGACCAAAGACTGGTTCATGTTGTTATTTATACAAATAAACAGAACAGCAAGTATCAGTCAATAAAAACATCAAGTTTCAAGGATTTTTCTGCCCTTATGAAATGTTTTTTATATTATTTACATTATTCTTATTCTTATTATTACTATTTTAATTAATTGCTATCTTACCCATTATAGACGGCACATTGAATGAGGTTTTATCTCTAGAGAAATGGATTTTAAAATCTTTGGGATTGATGAGCTAACAGCTAGTTCAAGCACAGCTGTCTTAAAACATCAACAATCTTCTGAATTTCATTGCAGCGTATGTGAACGTGCACCAGTGTGAAACTGAGGATAGTGTAAACACATTTAGCTCGTTCGCTGCCAGCCATTTCCTGAGCAGAAAAGCCCTTCGCCGCCAGTGTTTTTCACTGTTTTTAATGTTCTTTTTAGAGTCACAGAACGTTGCGTGCTATGATGATGTCAACGGCAAAACTAAAAACAAAGACTCACCTCTTACATCAGGAAGAATCCGTGCATTTCGAGCGTTATCCGTTCTTTCATAATCCGTTGTTAAATTGTGATCAGCAGAAGCTTTTGCGGTTTGCGCCCAAAACAATCTCCTTACACATGGATTTTCTGCTGATCACGTGACGTGTGACGTACGTGGATGAAGATCAGCTTTAGAGCTGGGATGTTTGTTCTCATGGTGCGGGGGCTCATTCCGACGACCACACATGGCAGTGAACGGTTGGATTTAAAATGACAAATTTTGTCATCAATGGCAGTGAATGAGTTAACATATAACCAAAAAAATCTGGTCTAAAATACATGGGAGCGGGTCTAAGTCTCTGGGCGACGCCATATTAGATGCCATGTTTTCTTCTGTGAGAGTCCTTGAGGACAAAACACATTTACTGATTTGTAACAAACGGTTAAAAAACTTTCACCATTAATAAGTCCTGTTCTGTTTGATGTACACCCCATTTCTCTAAAATGAGTCAGTTCAGGGAGCTAGCTATCCAACACAGGTGCAATCGTTATTATTTATAATGTTAACATAGAAACACGCTTCAAAATGGCCAAATAATTTCACTGTAAAATGTCTTGTGTTCAATCATCTTTAGCTAAACTACTGAAGCATGATGGAGAGCAAAACTAATTTACTAACCTTTTTGACAGTTTAACCCTCATGTCCTCATTGGTGAGAGTATTTTTTTTGTGTGTGTGTGTGTCGCTGAGTTCAAGGCAAAACACGCTTTGCATTTATGCAGTTGTGGGATTCAATTAAGAATGAATTGTATCAGTTCATCAGCACTCATTAAAGCATCCCCAGCTGTAATGGAAATAAAACTCCCTCTAAACTTCACTGGTGCCGTTATTGTACTTTAAAGAATCAATTCTTTGTTAATAGTTCATATGAGTTAAGCTGGAGGGGTTTAATTGTAGTTTGAATTAATAACTGATGACTTGAAGAGAAGCCAAGTAGAGGAGGAACCGTGTAGAGTCGTGGTTACATTCAGTCACTGCCAACAACATGTGATCTCGCCAAAGCATTTTTCACATTCAAGATAACAAACGGTGATTATGTTGTCACCAAGTGCCTTAGAGAGCTTAGCCTGAATGTTGCTACTAGCAGTGATCACACATTATCTGCATGTCGCCTGCATCTTTAATTTAAACTGTAACTTTACAAACGTAAAGTCAAGTTGAGCCCAGAGCAAATTACTTATATTTGTGTGGGTTTTAAGATTCTCAGAAAATAATTTTCCAGCCAAAGGTTTAAATAATTTTTGCATGGGTGTGTGTGCTGTTGTTCTGTGTGAAAGTGGCTTTTTGTTGCACTTGGATGATGTAGATGTCTTTGTGAGTGTACTCATGTTGTAGTGAGGTGTCTGTGTTGGGGCCTTGGCAGCGCCTGTGGAAACATTTAGCTGAAGCGCTTTCAGACACTCTAGCGGATGCAGCCAGTGTTTCAGAGCCACACCAGTAACACCACCAAGAATGACTGAAAATAGGAGTTTTCTTATTTCCCAAATATTCTATCAGTAGGAATGTTGAAATTATCTATAAATGGGGAACATACGACTATCAAATCCTTGAAACTCATCAAATTCCTTCCATGAACTTCTAATTTGACTAACATCCCACTTTTTGGGATTGTTTTTTTGCTCACATTTGTGTAAGTTTAGACTAGGAACTCATATTTAAATGTATTATTTATGCACTCTCTTGGCTGCCGTGCTTTCTAGCTTGTTGAGACTAACAGCTCATGAACTGATATTTTAGAGGCAGGTCCCTAAGCAAGCAGAAGTGTGTGATGATGTGGAGTGGGCTAAATGGGGATGTGAGACTTCATACTGGTGGGTCTGGCTGTTTAAGTGGAAATGTTCACTGAGCATGGCTTCCAGAGTGGGCGGTTCTCCACAGAAATGCATCAGGACAGAAATGTGTCGTGCTAATAAGCACACTGGAACCAGGTTTTGCACATGAACTGCAGTTCATATGCAAAACCTGCTATGCACTCCTGTCTTTTCTTCTGTTTCATTTATGAAATCTTCTGTGGGCAAACCCTGTTTCGTAAGAAAGATTACCCCGGCCCGTGTCTTTGCATAGCCACAGTTTGGCAAACCTATGCTCTGCTTCCTCATACCTTCTAAAGGTTTCCAACCAATCAGTCGGACTGCTGATGGGCATGTTTGAATACGAACGATGCTGAAAATTGTTTAGAATTCTCCCCACGGTGTGGCGGACTGGGCTTTACAGAAAATCCCCAGGGTTTTTTTTTTCTTCTTTATGCCTGGCTACAAGGTTAATGAAAGGGGCCTGAGAAGCATTAAACACTGAGACGCTGTCTGATTCTCCATCATGGCACAGAAGCAACACAGGTGTGACATGCTTAAATAAAGTTAAAAAAAAATCTTAAATAAATGCATATTTTGCAGTAGAGTTTATATGTTTTACACACCAACAGACGAGCAGGAAAAAGCATGTGGAGTTGGTTAGTGGGAGATTTGTCTGAGCAAGTTCTGGTTATACACAACTCAGTGTCTATACAGATATTGCCTCATGCTCCCCTTAACTCTGACCTAGTTTAACATTTGCTTTAAATTTTTCAGTGCGCTGAAGAAGGGAAAAAAAACTATTTGTGAGGGTTGCATTTCTGTGAAATAGGTGAAAATGGAAATGTAGGAGAAGGAAAAAAAGAGTATAGGAGAGCAGAAAAGCAAACATATCAGCGATTCTTTGCAAGGAATCCAAGTTTCACCCAGTAGGTGTGTGAAAATGCATATTTGTGTTTATGTGGACTCAATGCTCTGATCAGCCCCAACACAACTGTATCAAATTCACCCTGCAGCTGCTTTGGAAAATACAATGTGGGTCCTATTTAACATTCATTGAGTCAACTTCCCCTGCGGTGGCCTTTTGTTGTGTGTGCTCGTGTTTGTGTGTGTGTGTGTGAGCGTGTGCGTGTGTTTATCTGTAACCATGTGAACACGGGCATCGTGAAATAGAAAAAGACTTTGCATTTTGGTTACCGTATCAGTGCAGTAATCAGGGCTCGGAGTGAAGACGGTTAGTTATACAGAAAGGCTAGCCCAGACTCATTTATCATCACTGACCTTCGACCTATGTCATTTTCCTCGCTTGCACTTGCTCTTTTACGTGCACGCACAAGACAATCAATGAGGGGAAGGGTTGTGAAGAAGCAAAGGAAAGATGGATGGGCACACATGAAATTACTTACCACCTCCTATGAGCTTCCATTTAAGCTGCTTTGTAAAATCAAGATGTAAATTATCCAGCCCCTTTGTTGCTATGGAGATTTGATGATGTTGACTTCAGTAAAAGGTTGTAATAGAGATGCATGTTTAGTTGAAAATACGCTCCAGTCCAGTTTCTGTTGCAGCACTTCCATATATGGGCAGAGAGCTCGGCATCGTTCTGAGTTTAACTTTAAAACATCCTGAATCATTTTGAGGGAATAGTTGGTGCTGCTTCAAGTGGATTATTCATTCAAGCTGGCAAAACCTTAAAGTCAAATCTAATATATTAATGTGTTTTAAATCTTTCTTTTCTTGTTTAAAAAATATTAACATTTTGAATGTTTTATGTAAAAATAAAACTAAACTGAAAAGTCGCTCTGGTTTGTTGTCGACCCTAATGCTACGGTTAGCTTAGATGATATATTGTACGGTTTAATAAATGTCCTTGTCTTGTTTCTCCCAGGCCTTTGGGAATGCGAAGACGGCTCACAACAACAACTCCAGTCGATTTGGTAAATTCATCCAGGTCAATTATCTGGAGAGTGGAGTGGTCCGAGGGTGAGTCATCGACAAATAAACACCGGCCACACGCACAGATTCGTGTTCATTAGTTTAAAAACATTCAGTTTGAATTAAGGTTTAGTTTCCTCCAACTTCCTGCAGATCTTCATCTGGGGCCTCTATCCCTCTGTAGCCACTTATCTTCCTCTTTACTCTTCGGTTTTATGGGCGGTCATGTGTCTCAGTGTATATGTGGAAAGAAACTTTTAACCATTCTCTTCCTTTTTCACAGCAGTAAAGCTTAGGTTAGAAGCTTCATCAGAGTGGTCAGCTGTGTCACTTCCCCATTAGGAGAGAACAGCTGCTTTAAATAACAAAGCTGAGAACTTTAGTTAACTTTCTTTTGAATTGTGCAGCATAGTTATAGAAGTAAAGTTTTGCTGCTCTCAAGATGAATTGTTATTTAAAAGGTGTAAAATCCCGTGGGGACAGCTGCTCAGCTTTGCAGTAATTGGGCACCCTCCCCAAGTCTGATGATCTGGTCCCATCATGCTTGTTTACATAAAGATGGGTCTGTAATTGAGTCCACAAAGTTAGTGAGCTCAGCCTTCTTTTAGCTACAAAGTAAAACCTCTGAAACAATAAAACGTACACTGTGATCTACTAAAACAAACCGCCTCATGTGATATAACATCTGCAAGTGTAGCCTTCTGTTTTCCTGATAATAAAGGACTCGAGCAGCTCCAGCCAGGAGTGCATTGGCTCATCCATCTATCTTCATTGGCAGCCTTTCAGTCACTAGAGATCAACAAAGAAAATGCTGTTGTTGAACTTTTCTCTGTATTCAAAGTGAATGGATATATGACAAATTTCTTCCATTTCTCATTACAGAAACAAATACATGAACCTCCCAAAACTAATACACTTTAGAGAAGATGCTCTCTGATTAGTCACTTCTGGTGTTTCATGGTGATGTCCTGCAGCTGTAAACACTGGCTATCGATTAGGTCATTGTCTCACTCCTATTTGGGTTAGAAATGTTTATCTTAGGTGAAAGGATTCAGAGCAGCTTACCTGCTGACATAAGTGAACCCAAAGACACAAGCAAAATACTTTTCACAGCCAGAACATTTTATTAGACTTATTTGTATATATTATGACACATATGAAAACTAGTGGGAAGAGCTATTCAAAGCATTGCTTGCTGGAAGCGAGGGTTGATGCCTGAAGCTGGTTAAATGAGACAACTCCAACTTATATTTTACAGGTTGATGAGACTTATTGGACTCATACTGACTGCAGTCTGGGGAATGCACATAGCCTGTTTATTTTATAGCTGGTTTCAAAACCTTTTACATGGTCGATGGAAGCCTTCAGCTAGTTCCAGAGGTATTTGTCTTTCAGAAAATCAGTCAACTTAATCTGATTTCCTATCAGTTACCCAGTGTATACCTCAATGTATTTAGTTGTCTTTAAAACCGTAAATGTGGTTTATCAGTTTCTCAGACTTTAGATTCAACTTATTTTAAAGGGGTTTGTTTGTGTCTGTATTCGCCAAAGCCTCAGCACCTCAACACAACAGTAAATATGAATTATTGGTTTCATATTTAGGATATTTTATTTAATTTGTCATTATTTGAAGTTATTTCTTGGTGGATGGACACAACTTGGATACTCACAGCACAGCTCTATTCTTGGTGTGTCACGAGGGCTGGCGTCAGTAAAGTTTTTGTCTGACTTATAAAAACGATTTTATTTAAATGACTTTGTGGCTTTGGCCTGGTTTAGCTGGTGAATGCCACCGCTTTTGAAATGACATACCTCTGGCCTGCAGTGAAAATGCCCCTCAGTGCTCTCCTCCAGCACTCTAACGTCGGTGTTGTGGTGTGAAATGTGCTGCAGCATACGTGTGAATGCTTCTGCCTGCTTTGTATTGATCGTTTCTCAGCCATCTGGGCTCACTTTCACTTGTGCTCCTCCCCCTCATTCACCATCTCTGGCCCACTTTTATACACACCCGCACACACCTTTTAGTGTGACTCGTTTTCATTTTTATATTTTCATCTTTCCTCCTCCTGAATGTTCTTCCTCTCCATGTTTCAGAGCTGTGGTGGAGAAATACCTCCTGGAGAAGTCTCGACTGGTTTCCAGAGAGAAGAACGAGAGGTGAGGAGGGGTCCGGGGGGTGGGGCTTGACCTCTCACCCCCACCAACAGGAGGAGCTGAGCTGAAAGCCTTTGAGTTTTGATGTTCACTTGCTGAAACACACACCCACACACTCATTAGCTCTGACACTTAGTACAGGTTGAGTTTCTAATGAACCAATTACTTATTTATACACATCATCAAACAGACGGGGCAGTTTTAGCCTCTAAATGTAGCAGCATCCAATATCATCAGCTAGCGTGAGTCTTTCTCTTATCAGTCACACCCATCTGTTGGTGCTGTGCTGCAACTGTGCCGTCTTGTCACTTCCGAGTAGTGAGTTCAGTCATTGTTTTCTTTTTCTACGTCATACAAACCTCGTTTACTCACAGCAACGTTCACATACCAACCACACAGCTCATCGGCTGCTGCTTGTGTGATTAAAGCAAATATTTACGCAATAAATGAGTTGTCATAATAAATCATAGGATTACATTATTTGTTCCATGTTTGTAAATTTGACAGATTTTGACTAAATTATCTTGAGCTTGTAAAATCTCACTGATTGTTGTTAGCAGCTAGCTTTTTAAATGTCTGAATAAAACTCTTGAGTTAATCTTTTCGCCCAGTAATAAAATATATATTAGCTCCTTTTGAGTGGGAAGAGCATTACTCATTCATTAGTTTTCTGTCTAGATTTTCCCAGTTAGTTTTGGAAAATCCGTTCACCTTCCTCTGCCAGGTCGTTCTCGTTCGTAACCCTCCTCCTACTCATTGTCTGCTGGTAATCGGCACGCCTACAATTGCTGTTAAGGGTATTTCTTGCCTGCCTAGTCAGAGAGAGACTCTACTGTAGGGTGTTGTTGTTTTTTCTGTGACAAGTGTGGAAACTCAATAATCCTGTGTGCTTTACAACTTGCTGATTACAGAAATGGAAAACCAATAAGAATGTCACTCGGCTCCAGATGTTGTCTTCTTCCTATTAGCCTTTTACGATGTGTTCCCTCTTATTTTATTACCAAAGCTGCCCCCTTCGTGTGACCATAAAAAGAGGCTCCAATCTGCCCATAACTGATTGTCTGATTATGATAACGAAGAAAATTTTCACTGAGGTGTTTACTGCTGACTTTTAATTCGAGTAAAGGTAAAGTTTTATAGTTACTACGCGTCACATGTTGGGCTGCATGGTGATGTAGTTGGTAGCACAGGAGGTCCAGGTTCCTCCTACAGGCCCAAAACATGCATGTTAGGGTCAAATGTACGTCGCTTTGCATAAAAGCATCTGTGAAATGAATGAAAATGCACACACGTCTGAGGTGTTTCTTTCTTTCTAGGAACTATCATGTGTTTTACTACCTGCTGTTGGGTGCTTCTGAGGAGGAAAGAAAGGAGTATAAACTGCTGCCACCTGAAGAGTACTTCTACCTCAAGCAGGTATAGTTTGTTCTAGAGGTTGACCAATATTGGTTTTTCTGTTGCAGATGCCGATAAGTAAAGGTCATGGTAAGCTGATGGCCGATTTGTGCTGCTGATATTTTGGGACTGATATCTAGATGTTTTCCGCCTTATTTTTGGGCTAAAATGTCACTAATACCACCAGTTGATGCACAAAATTACAGAAGATTGATTGTCTCGTCTCTCGTCTCGTCTTCTTCCGCCAGAAGATTGATTGGTATTCGAAAACTGAATTTAACCAGCTGTTAAATCTTAATTTTGTGCACTGCTGGATTAAACTCAGACATCCAACTAAAGTTAATCAAAAAATCTGTAAATGACAGAGTATTAAATATTCCAAACTGCTAAATAAAAATACCTTTTAATTGAAAATTATTTTTTGAGCAATACTGCGGCGGCATTGAGTTGCCAGGGGAAGTCTGACTTTGTCTTTAATAAGGAGGCATATCGTCCGATATATAAAAAATGATATATATCGGTCCGATAAAACGGTCTACTCCTAGTTTGTTCATGTGCTGCTGGGTCTCCAAAAATAATATCTTGGCTTCTTACGCCACCATTTAGTCTACAACCTTCTGATGCACTGATATTTGATCAAATTCCCTCAAACTGTCTTTAGGTGGATCTGGTGTAACTGCCAAGCTTCTGAATAAGCTTCAGTATAAACTTCACACGTGCACTGCATGTTAAGAAGGCTCTCTGTTCACCCACTTGTGTAGATTCCTCTCTTCACGCAGCCTTTTTTTAAAATGACCCCTTTCATCACCACTTTGGCCTTTTTGGGTTTTATGATCTCATTTCTGTCCCTCCCTAACAATTACCTCTCCTTCTCTCCGTCTCTTTTTAATTTAGGAAAATTTTAAGATCGAAGATGAGGAAGATTTGCGTCACGACTTTGAAAGGCTGCAGCAGGCTATGGAGATGGTTGGCTTCCTTCCAGCCACTAAGAAACAGTGAGTGGAGTCAGTAAACATGGCAGAGAAGTGCTCATTTTCTAACAAATACTCTGAAAGGGGTGCGTTGAAACTCAGTCCTGGAGCATACTGCTGCTCAGTCCTTGAAAACGTGTTATTTAACACAGTCGCATGACCCCAGAAATGACAAATGCAACAAATGTCTAGAGCTTCTAAATGCAGTCTTGCCTCATTTTGTTTGTCATTAAATGTAAAGAAAGAAAAACATTTTCTCCTTGTGAACCTTGTTTGTGTTGTCCTCATGTCGTGTAATGTCTTTTACTGTGTTGCAGGATCTTTTCTGTTCTCTCTGCCATCCTTTATCTCGGCAACGTGACTTACAGCAAAAAGTCAACGGGCCGAGATGACGGGTTGGATGTGGGACCTCCGGAGGTCCTGGCTACTCTCTCTGACCTGCTGAAGGTAACTCGTGGTGACCCGTTATTACATCATTTCTCTGGTTGTGTATTTGTGACCCGGGTTTTTAATCTATTCAGGTTAAAGACGAACTGCTGGTCGAGGCGCTGACCAAGAGGAAAACGGTGACGGTCAACGACAAGCTGATTCTCCCCTACAGCCACTCTGAGGTTGGCGTTGAGGATTTGCAAACTTCTTTCTCACAGCGAAGAAAGCTGAAACCCCTGGGACAAATTTGTTTTTGTTTTTCTTTGATTAGTATTTTAGATTCTTATTTTAATTTTCCTTTACAGACATTCATTTTGTTGAAATCACATTACCTATTCATTACATTTTAATCTATCAGGCAATCACAGCCAGAGACTCCATGGCCAAGTCTCTGTACAGCGCCTTGTTCGACTGGATAGTCCTGCGCATCAACCATGCACTGCTCAACAAGAAAGACATGGAGGAATCTGTCTCTGTAAGACAAAAACTGCGTGACGTTCACTACACACAGCATTATAACAGTTGGATTAATATGATTTTAACATTGCTTTTCAGTGCTTGTCCATCGGTGTCTTGGATATTTTTGGCTTTGAGGACTTTCAGACAAACAGCTTTGAGCAGTTCTGCATCAACTATGCAAATGAGCAGCTGCAGTATTACTTCAACAATCACATTTTTAATCTGGAACAGGTGAGCAGGCTCCAATATTAAAATATGAGAGGAACACAGTAGTTTTTTTTTAATTGTGGTAAGATTTTTGACCCTGCTTATAATACTCCATACACACCAAAACCTTTTGTTTCAGTTCCAGCTGGTTAAATAGTTTAAGTTAAAATTGCAGATTTACATTGTTGGACATCGTTGTTTAATATGAATTCACACAAACTTGTTCCCTAAACCCCTTTTTCCTGCCTCATCCAGGAAGAGTACCAAGCTGAGGGAATCACCTGGCACAACATCGACTACACAGATAATGTGGGCTGCATCCATCTTATCAGCAAAAAGCCCACTGGCCTCTTGTACCTCCTGGATGAGGAGAGCAAGTAAGAACAGCTGCATTTTGTTCAAATTCATTTATAAAGTTGTTTCTACATTTGAGTTCCATGGCTGCAGATAAACACTAACGGTTATTTTGGTGCATCTGAAGCTGCTTGTTGGTCAAAATGTTCCTTCTCGCCGCCCCCTTGACCTCCCTGTGCCTCTTTATTTGTGCTCCAGCTTTCCACGCGCCACAGATGAAACCTTGTTAGCCAAATTCAAGCAGCAGCATCAAGGGAACAAATACTTTGTGCCCACACCGGTCCTGGAGCCCGCTTTTGTCATTCAGCACTTTGCAGGGAGAGTTAAATATCATATTCAGGTAATTTGACGGAAGCTACATCTTTCACATGCATACATCTTCAGTACCTTGGTTTCTGGTTCACCTTGTGACAGAATATGTCTGACCTTGTTAGGATTTCCGGGAGAAGAACACAGATCACATGCGTCCAGATATTGTAGCTCTGTTGAGAAGCAGTGATAGAGCGTTTGTGCGACAGCTCATCGGCATGGACCCGGTGGCCATGTTTCGGTGGGGGATCCTGCGAGCTACCGTCAGGGGCCTTGCTGCTTTCAATGAAGCTGGTCGCTCCTGGGCAGCTAAAAAGTCAGGTACGCCATCTGAGTCCACCTGAAGTCATCTTGCAATAAACCAGATCCATATTTTAACTATTTTTTATTCAGTTCAATTCAATTCACCTTTATTGTCATTGCAACTTGTACAATGACATTTGCTATGTTCTGTGGATGCTAAATAAATACCAAAGGCTTTAAAAAAAAGAAAAAGATGATAGTTCTCACTCATGCACACTTATAACCTTAAAAACTGTATTTCTCAAAAATAATCATACTTTTATTTAAAAATAAAGTTTGCAATCCTACATACACAAACATCACCACTCTAAAACCATGTGGGTTACTAATCATTAGAAGTTCTGTAATTGCTCTTGGTACAAAGCTGTTTTTCAATTGGGAGGTGTGTGCTTTAACAGCTCTATAGCGTTGTCCAGACGGTAACAGAGAGAAGAAACGGTGGCAGGGGTGGGATCCATCTGCCAGGGTGTGCATTGCTCTGTGTTGGAACATCCTATATAAACAAGCTTTTGTCATTTTAAAACAGTCCTTCACTTAGAAACCATATTTGACTTATTATTGTTTTAAATGATCAGACACTCTGAGTTTTTCATGCAGGCTCAGAATAGTCTCCTGCATTAGCTTCTGATAGAAAATAGACGGTGAAACTTGAGGGTTAGAAAAGCTTGACGGATCAACGTCCCACTGTCATTTAACATTCATGGACTCACCCATCTCTGCTCACGACGGGGAAGGCTGTTGTTTTAGTGTCCAGGATCAGCAGAAAACATCTCAGCTAGCAGAAGCTAACGGTTAGCATTAGCAACTCCACCACACGGCAAAACTCTTCCAGCCTTGTGTTATTCTTGGAAATAAAACATCAGTGTTGCAGAGCAAATGGAATCAGAAGAGTCATATTGCTGTAAGCGTATCAGAGGTGAGATACCCAAATATCAGGAAATAAGAGTCTAAATCCTGTCGTCTGAAGCTACTCATTCCTCTGGCGGAATTCTCTGTACTGAAACAGGTGCATCAGAGCTATTTTTTCCCAGAGTATGACCTACAATGCATTCGTTCCTACTATAGACCACTGCAAATGTGTTAAAAATATGAGTGAAGGCCCTCTTTTAAGCAGATAGTGATAGACGACAGTGCTGCGTTAGCTTGAGTAAAGATGGAAAGACCGCGTCATCCAGCTGCAGCCCTCCTGCTCTGTAATTAGCTTTCACGTCTGCATGGAATATGAAAGAGGACATAAACCTGAGGTTTTAGAAAAGTTTCTCTGCTGTTCTGAATCCTTTACTTAATTTTTTGTTTTCATAGAACGTCTTTAGACGGGAGATTTTTTATGAACATTCACAAGAAGTCAAAACAGGAACAAAGTCATGCCTGATCTATATTAAAATCTAAAGGGAAAACCTGCTTGTCTGCATTTATTGTCATGCGTTCTTGTTTTATGTTGTAGGTGTTATCCGCCCAGTTTCCAGAACTCCTTTAGGAGAACTGAAACGATCCAATACTCCAATTGAAAGAGTGTACAAGTAAGTGCGTCAAGCTCAGAAACTTGTCTCACTTTGTGTTTGGTGTGTTTGAACTGGTTCGACCTGTAAGGTCTGTTTTTCTGGAGGGAATCTGTTGTGGCACTTGTGAACACTTGGTGGATAAAGATTCATGACGCGCACACACACAAACATATTTCCTGTGTGTGCTTTAAGAGTTGATGGACATGTTTAACCTGGTGAACTGTGGACCTCTGCAGTTATCCTGTGGTTCTGAATGAGATGAGGACAAACACCTGAAATCTGTTCCACTTAGCTACTGAAACTTTTGAATCATCACAGTGATGGAAACATGTTCTGTTACCTCATCTCAGTCACCCGTATCCTCCCCACCCTTTGGTGACCCCAGTGTATGGGCTCTCTCCTCTTCCTCTTCCTCCACAGACGAGCTTCTATGCTCGATTTCTACTTTGATCACTCAGAGGAGCGCCCTCTAGAGGCCTTTGAAGACATCTTTGCTAGCTTTGAGAAAAAGAAGTAAGTGAATTTGGTGGAAAGCAGAAAGAACAAGGACATGAGGCCAAGCAGGAAGGAATCTTGTGTTAAATTATAAATGATGGTTTGTTTGACTTTCTGAGTTAGCTCTCTTAAAAAAATGTAAGTTAGTTTGCTGAATATGTTTTATTGAAAAGGTCAGAAGTGTTTTTTGTTTCTACATCAGCTCGTTGAAAATGAAATACAACAGTTTGAGGAAGTTCAGGGATGCAGTGAAACTCATCAGAATTCTGCAGAAAAAAAAACTCTTCCTCCACATCCTCTCACTACAATCCCCTTCTTGTTTCTTTAGCCACCATAATCCCACGTCTTCCTCACAGGACAGTGTTCATGCATGTCTGCTCTGATCAGCCTTTCAGACAACAAGGAAAGGAGAATAAACTATTTTTTTTTATAATGCCTCAAGATACAAATCATGAAGCGCTTCACAAGAACATCGCAAAATTAATTGATATAAAAATATATGCATATTATAATTAAAAATGTGGAAAAAGGAAAAAGTTAGATTAAAAATGTTAATGAAGAATACAAAATGAATGAGATAAAGGAGAATTGGTAGAAACAGCAGCATGAAGAGAAGTTGATGACGAAGGTCACACCAAAGCCAGCTCGAACAGGGGAGTTTTCAGCTGCTTCTTAAAGGAGACCACTGAGTCCACTGATCTCAGGCTCAGGGGAGAGAGGTCCAGAGTCTGGGGGCCACAGCAGCAAATGATCTGTCACCTTTGGTCTTTAGCCTGGTGCTCTAAAGATGTGAAGTCCTGAAATCACACATATTCAAACACTTCCTGTTAACCGTGAGAGCTTTCTCAGAATCCAATCAAACCCTTCTGCTTTCAGATCTGAAATAACTGTTTTTTTTTTTTCTAACATTAATCATCCCATAACTGGCGTGAACCTGGAACATTCTTATTATTTTTAAGTTAACCAGTTTTTCCTGGTCTGAAAGTGAAAACTCAGAGGTGTCGAGGTTAAATCAATGTTAAATTTCATATTGGAGTCATTTCCTTCTCTGCCTGGCCTCCGTTTCCACAATCGGTCTTGGTGAGTATAGAAAAGACCTGCATGGACTATCTCTGGAATATGGGAAAAGCCACCCTATTAACCTCACCAGGGCCAGCGTAACACCAGCCACAGTTAAGACTGTACACACAGAATCTTCACCCGTAACCACTCACAGTCACATAGCAACCAGTAACAGCCGCAGCATGGGGACAACTGGAGAGCCGCGCTCATTTCCACCTCAGCTCTGCATGTTTTACTACCACAGTGGCAACGAGGTGTGTGTGTGTGTCTGTCTGTCTGTCTCTTTCTGTTCTCAGAAAGGATATGACAGCATGGTTGGGTGATCTTGTGGTTTCTTCATATATTATCAGGGGGACCAAATATCATAGCTGAGCAGAGTGAAAAGTGAAGTGTGTCTTGATCAGGCCCCCTGCTGTTCTGCAGTCACTGCTGTGGTGTTTTTTCATCAGGGGTGCCCCTAACAGTGGTTCTCCTTCACACCTTCCCCTTTTTTGTGTTTCCTTGTCCGTTTTGTGGGGTTTCCTGTCCTTTTTTTTTTCTTTGCCCTTTCCTGTTTTCCTTCTCTTGCTCACCCATTCTTCTGTTTTCCTTCCCTCTTCACGCCACCTGTGTGTGTGATCAGAGATATGCATGCAGAGATCATCAGCTCCATTAAGAACTTGCAGCTGGATGGGGAGGACCCTCGCAGGCTGCTGCAATCCTGGGGTCGCCTCCGTTTCCCACGACACATCCTCCAGTGAGTCTGCAGACGGAGCTGAGTTCAGCTCTTCTCCAGATCAGTTTCAGTTCCATCAGCATAAGCAGAACACACTCCTCTTAAAGCTTAAATTCAGCCATTTTAAATGTGATAATCTGCCTTTTCCTGAGGACTAAGGTCAAGATGTCATTAATACTTAAAACTGTAGCATGAATATCAACAGAACGCTGTTGGCATGCGAGGTCTTTGATAGCAGCTTGTGGAAAAATGTCCCAGCATGTAAGAATCTGACAGCAGTCTGCAGCGTGATACACAACATGGAGAAGAATTTAGTCCTTTACGAATGATGGAAGCTAAAGAGCATGAGTCTCTTTGTGTGGGGAGTTTCTGCTTCTCTGGTGGTTTTTAAGAGTTTCATTTTGGTTCATCTTTCACATCCTTCCTCTCATCGTTGAGCCTTTCGGTCTAGGTACAAGCCTTTGTTTCATCACTCACTGACCGTGCATGAAGAAATCACCCATCCATACTAACCTGGTCTCACTCCATTCCATCCTCAAACCTCAGGCCTTCTGCTCCTAACTCACTCTTCACATTTCTCTTTCCTTTTCTCTCAGGAAAAACAAGAGTGTCAAACAGAGGCAGGTCATCCCAAAGGTAAACCTGAGGAAAATCAGAAAAAAAAACTCAAAACACAAGTTTTTAAATGTATTTAACTGAATAGATTTCTAATTTTTACTATTCCAGAGTTTGCTGGATTCAAGATCTTTGAAATTCATTGTGAGCCTAACTCTGCACGATCGCACCACAAAGTCTCTGCTTCACCTGCACAAGAAGAAGAAGCCGCCCAGCATCAGCGCCCAGTTTCAGGTACATTATGATCATTACACTCAGGAGATGGTGTCATTTTAAATCTATAATAACATTTTTATTCTTCAGAACTCTCTGACTAAACTCTTAGAGACTCTAAACAAAGCAGAACCTTTCTTCATCCGTTGTATCCGCTCCAACGCTGAGAAGGTAAAACCTTTAAATACGGTTTCATTTCTTGTAACTTATAATTCATTGATTACTTATCAGAATATTCTGAGTTTGCTGCTCTAAACAGGGACACACACACACTGCTTTTATGGATTACCCATCTTGCTTCTGTGTGTCTGAGCAGAAGGAGATGTACCTGGATGAGGCCCTGGTGCTTAAGCAGCTGCATTACACAGGAATGCTGGAAACTGTTCGCATCAGGAGGTCGGGCTACGGAGCCAAGTACACCTTCCAGGTACTGCATCTACTAACATTTACATCCAGGTTCATGTCTTCTGTAAAGAAGCACATTTATCTGACTTCTCCACGTTCTTGCGCCATCCCTGCAGGAGTTTGTGCAACAGTTCAGAGTTTTGCTGCCAAAGAACTCTTCTGCCTCCAAGGAGGACATCATGGAGCTGCTGGAAAAGAAAATGGGCCTGGACCCCACCACATTCCAGATAGGCAAAACCAAGGTATCAAAAGTGGTGTTTTATAATTTTAGGCACTTGACATCATATGTTTTTGTGTCTACCACTTACGTCATTGAAAAAAATTACAGCCTCACTTTTTTGTCCATAATCTTTCTCCCATTAAACTTAAAATTAGTTTAGTTCACTATGTTTTGAAAGTCTAAAAGGCCTATGAAAGCAACACTTGATAGGTTTCAGTGTGGAAGAGAATTACGGCCACTGAAAAGAAAAAAGACTTCTGACTTTAATCCCAGTATTATGACTTTTCTTCTCAGAAGTCAAAAAGCCAGAATTCTTTTTCTTTTCATTTTCCTCTTCTCAGTGTCCCTAAACTCCTTCCGTATTTCCTGACTCTCCGTCCTACTGATTGAAAGCAGAATAACGACTGTCATAAACAGCCGTGCTGCAGCAGCCTGCTGTAGCTAGTGCTAACAACGAGCTAACACTAACACGAGCCAAAAAATACTAAAATGATCCCCATTGACAAAGAAATTATTTTACTTAAAAGTCCAGTAACAACAAAGCCTAGTCACCATCAGTCCCTGATTTCATAGCCTTCTTCAGTTAACTGCTAGCCTCTATATTAGCTGACAGCACAGTAAACAGCTATTGCTATAAAGCAGGAAGACACCTCCCACTGATGTTCCTACCTGAACTACAAAACTGTTAAGGGTCGTTTCTGGTCAGCAGAGGGCGACAGAGTGCTGTCCCATGCTCGAGAACCACTGGAAGCAGTTTGAGAGCAACAACTTTAAGTGTTAAAACTCTTTCGTGTTGCTTTAAATTTATTTTTTTGTCTTTAACAGCAAACCTTGGTCAAATATTTCAGTAAAAATCAATCGTACGGTGTTTCATCCAAATTTTCAGAAGTATTATTGTCAGTCTCTAATTATTTCCTAGTTGTCATTATCAAAATTAGCCCTTATTAGCAGCAACTATATGTTTGCTGCTCCAGGTGTTCCTGAAGGAGCTGGAGCGACAAAAGCTGCAGGACGTTCTACACAAAGAGGTGATGAGGAAGATCGTCTTCCTTCAGCGCTGGTTCAGAGCTCGACTGCGTAGGCAGGAGTTTTTGGACATGAGAACAGCAGCCATCTTGATCCAGGTATGTCTAGATGCTTTATTCAGCTTTAACAGCAATGACTGGCTTGCTTTGATCACTTCACAAGAGCTTGGAAATTATTTAAGAAGGGTTTATTTTCTCTGTCCTGTCCTTAGTGTTTATGGCGTAGGTACTGCAGGGAGGAGCAGAAGAGACGAGCAGCGACTCTGATCCAGGCGTTGTGGAGAGGATACAGCCAGAGGGCACAGTTCCACCGACAAAGACAGGGAGCCACAAAAATACAAGCCCTGGTCAGGGGACACTCTGCACGCAAACGGTAAACACACACACTAAACGATAAGGGTTCCCTGTTTTAATCCAATCTTTACAACCATAATTTGGTGTCTGGTGCTTTATTTATTACAGGTGTCAGTCCATTCGCGAGGAGAAACGAAAGAAAGAGGAGGAGGAGGAAGAGGCCAGGAGGAGAGCAGAAGAAGAAGAAAGGCGGAAGAGAGAAGAGGAGGAAGAGGCAAAGAGAAAAGCAGAAGAGGAAGCGAGACTGAGACTGGAAGAAGAAGCAAGGAGGAGAGCAGAGCAGGAGGAAGCAGCAGCCAGAAAAGCCCAAGAACAGGGCAAGGAAGAGGAGAAAAGAATTAGAGAACCAGATCTAGAGCTGGTGGCAGAAGAAATTCTAGATGAACATCCCCTGGTTACAGAGGAGGAGCAAAGCAAAGATGAAGAGCTGGAGGATGAGGAGCAGGATTTGGAGATTACTGCAACCGTGGCTGGGTCTCAGCCAGATGAGAGTGAAGAAGAGGAGGACTTAGAGGATCAAACACGAGGACAGCAAGATTCAGAACCTGTTCTGCTTTCAGAGGAAGTCACTTCCAACGCACTTACACCCACAGCTCCACCTCAAGGGGAGGACAAGCTGTCCAGCACTACCTCTACAACTCCACATGCTGAAGAACAGCCCTCTCTTTCCATGAAGTGCTCTTCATCCAGGAGTATGAAGAAGAGAGAGGAGAGGAGACAGAGAGGACTGGAGCATAACAAGAGAGAGACTGAACGAGCCGCCGCCACCTCTTCCTCTTCTACAACCATCGACAAAGATCAGAAATCATCACCAAAGAGCAGAAACCAGGAGACGTCGAAGCTCAAGGAGAGATCGGACAGCAAGGAGCTGGACCAGTATACCTTCGTGGCCTGGAAGGTGAAAGATGATAAGGGAGGAAAGAAGGAGGCTAGAAGTTCTCCTCCTCCAGTTGGTCCTGTGCGACCCACTACATTACCCCTGCAGCCGGCTAACTCTCCACACGAGAAGAACGGTTTAAGCGAAGGAGTCGGATCGACAACTCTACAGCGGCGTCCTGGAGCTATAAAGGAGAAGCCGGAGAAGTGGAGGGAAAGGAGGAGCAATGGGGAAAACTGCGAAGGCACCAGCTCTCCTCCGCTTTACAACCGAGAAGACAAAAGGAAGAAATCACCGCTGTACGTCTGCTGTTCTCAGATCTGCTCTTAAACATCAGGATAAATCTGCTGCCAGTCACATTCTTAGTTTACTTTAGTTTCAATCTGTTCCTGATGTCACAGAATTTCTGTAAAAAGTGTTTTTGGTCCTCAGCGCTGAGATCTTTTAATCTTTCTGCAGGAGTGAAACCACGTACTCGTTATCTGACAGCTTATCTCCAAATTCTGAAGGAGCCAGTGCCATTTCAGTCAGAGAGGTAAAGTTTACTGTCTAAACTCAAGCCTCTTCTTATTCATAAGTTATCATTTGTTAATAAAAATCTCCGGCCAGCAGAAAAGTATCTCTCTTGAGAGTCACAATGAAAAAGGAGGCTCCATCAGAAAGAGACACCAAGACGGTTCTGGTTCTCAGGATTCCGCCCACCCCATCACCTCCACGCCAGACAAGTACGACGCCGCCGTAGGCCCATGTGCAAACAGCTGGGCTCAGTGTTTACAGGGAAACGCATGCACTAGGCTTCTCTGGCATGCATTAGCTATTGTGCACACAATTTATTTATTTACTATAAATTATTTTACTTATTGCAAAGAATACAAACAGATTTTCAGTTACCTCATAGTTAAGTCTAGATCCATCATAAACAGGCATTAAACTTCCTCAGATGTAAGCTCTAGAAATCTAACTTTGTTCCATCCTTATCACCAAAACAAATCTACTTCTATGCATGATCTCAGTGCTGTCCTGTGTTTCTCTGCACTGCAGGTCCGGTGGTTTCTTCAAGTTTTTGAAGAAACGAACCAAAGAAGCCCAAACTCCCGACAACGGAGAGCTGACTTTTGCTCAGAGTATCAATGACAAGTCAACACCAGGGGAAGGTAATTTACTCCAACGTTTGACAGCTTTTCTATAGTTTTCTAGCATTAGGACCTCTTAAAACCTCTTTTTTTTCCAGCACCTCCCTCTGGTCACTTGTCCCGGCCTCCCGCTCAGCCCCAAGGTGACCGCACCAGTAAACCTTTGGGCAGAAATCCCACTATTAAGATCAGTCGTGCCACGCGGGTCTCTGAGCAGTGGAACGCCTCGCTGGACAGAGAGATCACAAATGCCAACGAGCTGCGGCACCTCGATGAATTTCTGGGCAACCAGGTTAGTCACAAGCTGCTTAAATTAAACAAGAGAGACCTCCGCAAGGAAGGAAAACATCATTTTGGGTTTTTTTGTTTTTTCACCTCTGTAGGTCAACAATTTCCGATCCAGAGGTATGTCGATGACAGAATCCATCTTTGTCAAAGCCACCATGCAGTTCAGGGAGCACATAAAATCCATGTATTCCTTCACGGTGAGTTTGGTTGTTTACAGAAATCTGGCACATCCTCACCTGCATTAATATTCACCATCTTCCTCTCCTGTGAGCAGAAGCCCACCATGGGCTACAAAGGGTTAATGTCAGGCTACCAGAACATGGTGATCCACCAGGCGGGCAGCGGAAACCAAGAGGACATCACCCTCGTGGTCAACCTGTTCCAGTCGATGCTGGACGGCTTCATCAGAGGAGAAATAAAGAAGGAGGAGGCTGAACCTGCAAAGGTGATCTGCTCTCATCCGTACCCACAATTAGAAAAACCTTTTTTAAAAAGACTCACAATTTACTCACAGCAATGTTTGACTTTCAGCCTGCCAAGATTAGAAAAAAGAGGAGGAAAAAAGATAAAAGTGTAAGTGTGCAGTTTATTTATATACTTTATTATTTCCAGTGATAGTTTAATTTCCATGTATAATCCAACTGCCTGATTTTGTTAGATGGAGAGCCCCCTGGACCACGGTTTTGTCAACTATCAGGTCAGCATCGTGCAGTCATGTGACCAGTGTAGCTCCTACATCTGGGGCATGGAGAAAGCCTACATGTGCAACTGTGAGTAAACACACCACCAACAACAAAAAGACAAACATAACACAATGTAGTTGGAAATTACATGAAACCTTTGCTGCAGATTGTAAAATGGTGTGCCACAAGAAGTGCCTTAGCAAGATAAGCACCGACTGTACCACCTTTTGTGCCAGAAAGGTACGTTTCTGTTTAGAAAGTAGCTCGGCTGGCGTTCCCGTGAAGCGAAAACACACGCTGACTGCTGCTGTGCGCTGAATCCACAGAGTGATGAAGAGGTCACTGGACAGCACTTTGGGGTGCGTGTGTGTCGCCTGGTGAGTGAAAAGAACCCGGTGCCAGTGGTGCTGGAGATGATGCTGGAGCACGTGGAGATGCACGGCCTCTACACCGAGGGCATCTATCGCAAATCCGGCTCTGCTAACCGCATGAAAGAGCTGCACCAGCGGCTGGAGACAGGTTTAAAGCATTCCCTACAACCATCACAGCTGACGCATAATTCTCTAAAACCGTCTCTGAATCTTAAACCCTTTGATGTGTGTAGACCCCCATCTAGTCATCCTGGAGGATTATCCCATCCACACGGTGACTGGCCTGGTGAAGCAGTGGCTGCGGGAGCTGCCAGACCCACTCATGACCTTCGCTCATTACAATGACTTCCTTCATGCTGTGGGTCAGTGGAAGAGTCTCCAGCAGGGGGAGCCATTTCACAAGTTTAAACTATTACAAATGTTGGTTTTCTGGTTAGATGTTTATTAATACGTGAATTCTAACTTGTTTACATCCACAGCAGCAAAGTTAAATGAAAGTGTGGATGTTTTATGTTTTTCTCTTGCAAGAACTACCAGAGAAACAGGAGCAGCTTCATGCCATCTATAAGGTGGTGGAGGAGCTCCCCACAGCCAACTTCAACGTGTTAGAGCGACTCATCTTCCACCTTGTCAGGTAAATCTTTTAAAATCAAATGGTCTGTTAGTGTCGTTGGCTAAATAACATCATGGATTATTAACAAAGAAGATCCTGATGAAGCTGCTTTCACAGACCCTTTTCTGCTTGCTAATGTGCCTCTAGGGTCTCTAAAGAAGAGGTTCACAGCCGCATGTCCGCCAACTCACTGGCCATTGTGTTTGCACCGTGTATCCTACGTTGCCCAGACAGTGCTGACCCGCTGCTCAGCATGAAAGATGTTGCCAAGACAACGATGTAAAAGAAAACCCAAAACGCTTCAGTTCTTCTGTGGTCATATCACCCTAACTGTAACAAGAACCCTCCCCTTTGGTCTGCAGATGTGTGGAGATGCTCATCGTTGAGCAGACCAGGCGCTACAATGAGAAGATGGAGGAGATTGATCAGCTGGAGTTGGCGGAGAACATGGCCGTCAACCAGCTCAAACTCAAGAGACAGAACACGGTGAGGAGCGGCGCTCTGCTTCGCTCTGTCGTTGATGCCTTAACGAGCTGCACACGGATAACGATTTAAATGTTTTTAAAGTTGTCTTTCTGTGACAAATGCATCATGTAAATCACACATCCCCATCATCAGCTGTTCTCGGGTTACTCGGGTAACACGGACAATGTTCCTTGTCTCTTTTTAGCCCTGCCTGCATTTACCTCTCAGGTTCTCAGCTCCTTACAAAGGAGTGGTGGTACGTATCCCCCAGTTCTCTGGTGCTGTAGGCCCAGTAGCTGTAGCGTGTAGCGCCATGCTAAAGCACCTGTGCATGGCATGTTACATACTGGTGGTGCTCTGCCTCTCTCATTTATTTCATTTATTCCCTTTTATTTGTTTTCCAGTCATCTAACTGTGAGACTTTTTACTTGTTTACACTAACTAGGAGTAGTTTGCATGTTGTTGTTAGTGTGGTTTTGGTTCTGCCTGTGATGTGAAGGATGCGTTGTTGTTTGTGTTCTCTGTGTGTGAGAACAAGGTGGTCCTTGGTGGGTTGGTGATGTGATTCCTGTCAACATCAGAGACTTCACTAAAAATGTGACTGTGTATTTGTATGTTTGTGGTACTCCAGCACTAAACTGTTAACAAGGACCACACGGCCCTGAAAGTCATCATTAATTGAAACGTCCGGATCTGTTTGGATTGTGGTGATGTGTTTCACTTCGGCCACAGTTGTTTTGAGTTGAGTGGATCTGTGCATCGTTAGTTGCTGAATTAAAGCTCGTTTTAATCATTTATATTCACAAAATGTACTGCAAGTGTTCTTTTGCAGATGCATGAAAGCCACAGTCACCATCCACTCTGCTTTTCCACTTACCCACTAACGGATTTGGCTCAGTTTCACATCTTTGTTAAAGTCTCTGTGGTCGTTTCATATCGATGAATAACTTTGACTTTTAATTTGCTAATCAGAGCAATGGCTGAGGTCGTGGGTTATCTATATGTGATCCTGTGTCTTGTGCAGATGCATGAGAAAGCGAGCTCTCACCTCAGAGATGTCCCCGAAAACGAGCCACTGGACTCGGACACCGAGGCTGAGAAGAACCTGATGGAGCGCATCAAGTCTATCAAACGGGAGAAGTGAGGATGTTTTCTGACCTTTCCTTGTTTTATTTTTGTGTTTTTTTCTCTAATCGTTACCATGTTAAATGTTCTTGTCGTTTCTCAGAGAGGACCTGGCCTGTCGGCTCCCAGAGATGGAGCAGCTAGGTTCAGACCAGGAGAACCTGGACTCGGAAGCGTCACTAAGCTCTGAGAGTCTTCTGGATGAACAGCAGCGTTCTTCCATTAACAGCTCCGATCCAGAAGGTCAGTATTAAGGAATGGGCCGGCGTGACTTTCCTACCTGTTCCTCTCGCTCACCCGTGGGATTCTGACTGTAGTGCGGGGCCGCTGGCTTGGGCCCTTCCTGTCTTTTCTGGTGCAGGTCTGGACCAGTGATGGTGACGGGGTGCTGATGTCTGCTCTTTAAACAAAAGCAGGTTGGAGGGACAGCAAACTGTGTTTGTAGATTTGTGTGGCGCAGAAGCATGCTCAAACATCACCTAAAGATCAGCATGTCTAACTTTTGGTTCCATATTAAACCAAAGCATGTAACTCTACCTTTCTGAGTATGTGTCCTCTTACATGGTTGCATGATCTTCCACTTGTCTCCTGTCTTGCTCCCAACTGCTCTGTAATTACTTAAACATGTTTACGTTCAACTTGCTCAACTCATCGTCTTTTTCCTTCTCTGTCAGGACAATGTGCTGCCAGGCTGAGGAGACAAAAGGCTGTTAGTTTGATAAAATCATCAGATCTGGCCCAGCGCCCTCAGGTCCCAGCTGGACGTGTCCCTGTGGCTAACCTCACCCCTGCCAGCTCCACTTCCTCCCTATCTAGCTGCACTTCCTCAGCCTCTGAATCGTCCAACCCCTTCTCCAAACCCCTTCTGCAGTGCTGCAGCCCCGTAATCCCAGACACAGTTAAGCTCCCCCCAGGTGTCCGTCCTCAGGCAGCAGCCTCAAACTCAGCTCAGACTAGGACGCCTCCTGGAAATGGAGCATTGTCTCAGTCAGTGAAGAAGAGGGACCAGGCTGTCCGCCGTAAAGACAGCACCCAATCTCTTTACATCAAACATCCTGAATGTGACCTGTTGCTTCATTTTTCCACCTGCCCTCCGTCTGCTTCTTCCTCGTCATCCTCCATCGCCATGGTTACACTCTCACCTCCGCTTCAGCGCCACAAACAGATAGAAAACTCCAAGGATCAGAGACGCTTTTCTAACCCAGAAGTCCCAAACGTGGACTTGGATGTCTGACTCGGGCAAAAACAAAAACAAAGAACGGTTAAAAAAGAAACGATGTACGATTCTGCATCCAGAACTGAGGAGGGGATGAAAGCCCCAACACAGGAACAGGACTGTATGTGCGAGTGTAACTGAGAGAATGTGATGAATCAGATTGAAGTGATGGTGAGCAGCAGCTGTTACAGCTTCTGCCTGAGGAAAACTAATGAAAGTGTTTTTGTTTGACAGTTAAAAAAAAATAACTGGACAAGTTGTTGCCAAGCACCTTTTTCTATTTTATGTTGTGGTTTGTGTTGATGGAGTCAGTTTGACTACAGGCTCCAGGTTCTGTATTCTCACTTTTTTATTGTGTAACAAGAAAATATTGCAGGTTACAAATGTCCTCTTTGTTCTCCAAGTGAGCAAAATGTGCTCAATGAATTGTTTGCCAGTGCCTTGATGTCGTGCATTGAGTTGATGAACTCACTTCTCACCATTTTTAAAGCGGGAGGGTCATTTAGAATGAAAATAATTACGTGTCCCAGATTTCCGACATGAGCCACGTTCAAACCAAGGACCTAATCATGAATGTTCTGTTTTACTTCATACCTGCTGCACAACACACACCAGATAGGAAGTTATTGCTTTCAGTTAGCAAAGGGAAATGGAAGCAGCACATGCCACTTTCTCCAAAAAACAAAATAACAAATCTGACCATGAGGCTACGGATATCTTCTCAAGTTCCTGGGAGTCACCCGTCTAGTAGAAGGAACGTGATTTCACTGGGCTGCAGACGAACGATGAGTTCTGCTGAAGCACAGCCTCGGCCAACGTTGTACAGAATGAAATGTAATACTAATGTCTCTCTGTGACTGCTGAATGGTGTTTGTGTGGGTTATGAGAAAGATGTTCTGATGTGTAACGGTGTGTGTTGGGACTGAATGACAAGAGCTGTAAAGGTTGTTAGTATTAACGTGGAAATACAGTACATGATGCTTCGAACACCTGCTCCTGTGTGTTTTATAAATGTTTTGATTCAAGCGTGATGATCAGATGTACAAAAAACATACAGAGGAGCGTTCTGAAGATCATTAGTTTGGGCCAAAACAACACGATCAGGATAAGATTCTGCCCACACAGAGGTGGTTGATTTAGGACAGAGAAAGTTGCAAAGCAGTGTCTTGTTTCTTTATCATTATAAAGTAAAAGTCCCATTAGTTGTCACACACACTGATGTGTGTGCAAAATTTGTTCTCCGCATTTGACCCATCCCCTGGGGGAGCGGTGAGCTGCAGACACAGCCGCGCTCGGGAACCATTTGGTGGTTTAACCCCCCAATCCAACCCCTTAATGCTGAGTGTCAAGCAGGGAGGCATTGGGTCCCATTTTTTCAAAGTCTTTGGTATGACCCGACCAGGAATCGAACCCTGATCTCCCAGTCTCAGGGCGGACACTCTACCACTAGGCCACTGAGCTGGTTGACAACACCCTGTTCCAAGTTCAGTGTGACAAAGACTAGTTTTGTTTTGTTTTTCAGTTAAACTCCAGGATGGCAATGTGTCCAAGAGCTCTTTGGATAACTGAAATCAATTTTAGACACCTGTGATCATTAGTTTACCAGGTGTGGCCAATTACAGTTACAAACTACTTAAGGATGTTCCACAATGTTAGACAGACCATAGTTGGCAACCGATATGGGGAAGGAAAAGGATCTTTGCTTCCCAGAAGAGTGAAATAGTGTGATGCTGTGGACAAAGTATAAAAACAGATATTTCCTGAAAACTTAAGTGAGATCATTGCACTATGAAAAGATTTGTGGCCGATTTAGAGTACAGATGAGTTTGTGCAGATAAAGGGACATTGAGGAAGATTTCTGTCAAATCCATGTATCAGATCAAGAGAGCAGCTGCTAAAAGGTCATTACAGCAGCAAAAAGATATTTGAAGCTGCTGGTGCATCTGGAGTCCTCCACAGTCTTGAGATCTGTGCATAAACCTCTTCGACCACTGCTGACTAATGTTCACAAGCAGACACGGCTGCACTGGGCAGAGAAATACATTTTCAAACAGTCATGGTGACTGATGAGTGTCGTACAAACCTTGATGACCCAAATGGATGGAGTAGTGGGTGGTTGTTGAACGGCCACTGTTTTCCAACAAGGCTGTGACATCAGCAAGGAGGAGGTGGAGTCATGTTTTGGGCTGGAATCATGGGAAGAGAGCTGTTCGGCCCCTTAGGGTCTCCAAAGGCGTAAAGATGACCTCTGCATGTATGTGGAGTTTCTGACTGACCACGTTCTTCCCTGGTACAAAAAAATGAAACCATGCTGTGATAAAATCATCTTCATGCATGACAATGCATCATCTCATGCTGCAAAGAATACCTCTGCATCAGTGGCTACTATGGGGATAAAAGAGGACACCTCTCTCTCTCTCTCTCTCTCTCTCTCTCTCTCTCTCTCTCTCTCTCTCTCTCTCTCGAACAATAATTCACTGTCCCTTCAGCCATTCAAAATTAGATAGATATATCTACCTCGGGTTGTGCACAGATGTTAACTAACACAGTTTAAAGGCTTATTTTCAAAAAGAAAAGTTTTGTTAAAATTTTTATTTAAAAAATACTTCTTCTGGACAATGATCTGTTGGTAATCTTGTGGCGGTCTAGTGGCATTACACGAAACGTCTTAAAAAACGCACCAAAATGCTAACATAATGACCACACACACACACACACACACACACACACACACACACACACACACACACACACACACACACACACACACACACACACACACAGGTTGTAAGAAAAACAAGCTGATTTTGGTGTGACTTGCTCTTTAAAAATTCCTCAAATTTTTCTAATATTTAATACTGATTTCTTTTGCAAATTATATTTATAAATTATAATAATTATTGACGTGTCTCACATATTTATATTGCAGCGTGGAAGGTTGAGGCACCGCCTCCTCGCTTCAGTCGTTTGACGTCAAACTGCCGCGACACTGTGAACATGGCTTCTAGGTTGGAGATAAATTTTATTAGATTGCTGTCTCGATGTGAATCCATGGCTTCGGAGAAGCGTGGGGAGACTGAATGGAGGTTAGAGAAGGTAGGAATGCCTCCAGTGAACTGTTTTAACATGAAACATGTCTGTGTGACCTTTATCTGCTCTGTTGTTGTTAGCGGTGCAGCTGTTAGCCACGTAGTCAGACAGCAGACTCGCGATTTCTTATTATTTCTAATCAGCAGAAAAATATATATAATATCGAACAGTGAGCCAAGAAATTAACTATGAATATGTTCCTTGTTTATTTGACTTCCTCATGTCAAAATACTAAAACTAAAACCATCAAACAATTTATTTCTGTTGTAATAAAATAATAACTCCTCCTTGAATCATCACCTTATCGTGGTGGAGAAGTTTGAGTGCCCTAATGATCCTAGGAGCTATGTTGTCTGGGGCACTTTGTGCCCCTGGTAGGGTCTCCCATGACAAATTGGTCTTAGGTGAAGGGTGAGACAAAGAACGGTTCAGAGGATCTTTCATGGATGAACTATCAAGGGGTCGGAGTACCCGGCCCGGAGGGTTACTGGGGTCCCACCCTGGAGCCAGGCCTGGGGTTGGGGCCCGTGAGCGAGCGCCTGGTGGCCGGGCCCAGCCCGAACCGGATACATGGGCTCATCCAACTGTGGACCCACCACTCGCAGGAGGAACATGAAGGGTCCGGTGCAGTGTGGATCGGGTGGCAGGCCGAGGCGGGAGCCTTGGCGGTCCGATCCCCTGACAACAAAATTGTTTTTTGGGACATGGAACGTCACCTCGCTGGCGGGGAAGGAGCAGGAGCTTGTGGCAGAGGTTGAGCGGTACCGGCTAGATATAGTCGGACTCACCTCGACACATAGCATTGGCTCTGGAACCCAAGTCCTTGAGAGGGGTTGGACACTCTCCTTTGCTGGAGTTGCTCCGGGTGAGAGGCAGAGGGCTGGGGTTGGCTTTTTGTTAGCCCCAAGACTCTCTGCCTGTGTGTTGGGGTTTACCCCGGGGGACCAGAGGGTATCGTCCTTGCGCCTTCGGGTCGGGGAACTCGTCCTGACTGTTTGTGCTTATGCGCCAAATATCAGTTCAGATTACCCACCCTTTATGGAGTCCCTGGGATGAGTGCTAGATAGTGCTCCATCAGGGGACTCCATTGTCCTGCTGGGGGACTTCAATGCTCACGTGGGCAATGACAGCATGACCTGGAGGGGTGTGATTGGGAGGAACGGCCCGCCTGATCTGAACTCGAGCGGTGTTTTGTTATTGAACTTCTGTGCAAGCCGCAGTTTGGCCATAACGAACACCATGTTCGAACATAAGGATGCCCATCGGTACACTTGGTACCAGGGCAGCCTAGGTCGCAGGTCGATAATAGACTTTGTAGTCATATCATCTGACCTGCGGCCGTATGTTTTGGACACCCGAGTGAAGAGAGGAGCGGAGCTGTCAAATGACCACCACCTGGTGGTGAGTTGGATCAGATGACAGGGGAAGATGCCGCGTAGACCTGGCAGACCCAAACGCATAGTGAGGGTCTGCTGGGAATGCTTGGCAGAAGAACCTGTCAAGACGGTCTTCAACTCCCACCTCCGGCAGAGCTTTGATCACGTCCTGAGAGCAGTGGGGGACATAGACTCCGAGTGGGCCTTGTTGTTTGGTGGCAGGAGAATCTCGTCTCTGCTTTTTGCGGATGATGTGGTCCACCTAGCTTCATCCAGCTCTGACCTTCAGCTCTTGCTGGGTAGGTTCGCGGCCGAGTGTGAAGTGGCTGGGATGAAGATCAGCGCCACCAAATCTGAGACCATAGTTCTAGACCAGAAAAGGGTGGCTTGCCAACTCCGGGTCGGAAGAGAGGTCCTACCTCAAGTGGAGGAGTTTAAGTATCTCGGGGTCTTGTTCACGAGTGAGGGTAGGAGGGATCGGGAGATCAACAGGCGGATTGGTTCGGCATCTGCAGTGATGCGGACGCTGAGCCGATCTGTCGTGGGGAAGAGGGAGCTGAGCCAGAAAGCCAGGCTCTCGATTTACCGGTCGATCTACGTCCCAATCCTCACCTATGGTCATGAACTTTGGGTAACGACCGAAAGAACGAGATCGCGAATACAAGCGGCCGAAATGAGTTTCCTCCGTAGGGTGGCCGGGCTCAGCCTTAGAGATAGGGTGAGGAGCTCGGACATGCGGGAGGAACTCGGAGTAGAACCGCTGCTCCTCCGGATCGAAAGGAGTCAGTTGAGGTGGTTTGGGCATCTGGTCAGGATGCCTCCTGGACACCTGCCTGGGGAGGTGTTTCGGGCATATCCTGCCGGCAGGATGCCCCCGGGTCGACCCAGGACACGTTGGAGAGATTACATCTCCAATCTGGTCCGGGAATGCCTTGGGGTCCTGCCGGAGGAGCTGGTGGAGGTGGCCGGGGAGAGGACAGTCTGGAGCTCCCTAGTTGGGATGCTGCCCCCGCGACCCAGACCCGGATAAGCGGAGGAAGACGACGACGAATAAAATAATAAAACCTCGGTAGATGGTCTCCTACCACTGTCCCTGTTAAAGTCTGCCTGGTCATTTTTATATATATTCTTTCAGTAATTATGTCAAAAGTTCCTATGTGCATAAAATTGTCATATTTTTTCAGGACAATCTTAGCTTTCAATATCTGTAAACATTTTTCAGTTATTGTGTTTATTACCTTTTAAACAGGATGCTTTGTATATTTATAACTACAGTAAATTATTTTGTTTAAATTTTTTTAATAAGTAGTGTTTAACTTTGGTCCCCGAGGGCCACCATCCTGCATATTCTAGACGTTTCTCTGTTCCAACACACCTGATTTGAGTTGGCAGGTCATTAACAGGCTTCTGCAGAGCCTGATGAGTTGCCGAACAGCTGATTCAACCACTGAATCAGGTGTGCTGGAGCAGAAAAACAGCTTAAACATGCTGGGTAGAGGCTCTAGAGCAGATGTGGACACAAACACAAATATATGCTTTTTAGCAATGCCACAATTGAGACAGAAATGGTGTTTTTTGTTAAATGTATTAGTTTGATGTCTTCACTTTTTCTTTTCTAAAGACATTTTGACAGAGATGTGCACCACTGATTGATTGTTTGATTTTCTCTAGTATGTTGCTGCCCTGGAGGAGATGTTGGTGGCTCTGAAGAAAAGCCAAAGGTTATCCCACATTTTCCATTATTTAATGTCCTCTTTAACTTATCTGAACAGTTTTAAACTCCAGTGTTTAATCACACTTCTTGCCCAAAAAGGTCCGTTATTTGATAGAATGATATCCGTTGTTCTAATCGTTACAGATGTTTTTAGCATCGCTTTACTTTAGACTCGATTTGTGTCTTGACAGCAAACCAACACAAGAGGTCCTGGCTGAATACACAAGAAAAGTCGGTTTTCTTAAAGGGCTCCTGGAGGCAGAAAAACTAGTGAGATTTCAGATTGGTTTATTTTATATATTCATGCTATGCATTTAATCTGGAATTTTGTCCATTTCATGTATTGGAGTCCATCAATAACCCTAATATAAATATTAGCTTCTTTTTATTTTATTTTTTTTAAGATTTATTTTTTGAGTTAGGATAGTTTTCTGATCTTTTGCCCCTCCTGCTCTTCCTAAGCCGTCACCAACAGAAAAGGCTCTAGCCAATCAGTTCCTCACCCCTGGCCGCATGCCCACAATAGCCAATGAGAGGATGCCTGCCAGCAAAACAGTTCACATGCAGTCCAAGGCTCGATGTACAGGAGAGATGAGGGCTGAGCTGCTTGGCACGGTGAGATCACAACTCGATGGATACGTATATTTAAAGAAAAAGAAAACATTTTACTAACATGCTAATTTTTGTGTTCCTGCAGCAACCTTCTAGCAAAGATTCAGAGCTGAGAAACAGAAGGTAAAATCTTACACCTGAAAATAACTGCGCTGTGTTGTTCTCGTTCCCCAATAAACAAGTCTTACTGTTCAAATCCTTCAAAACCCTGCAGGAGTCTTCCTGTGGATGAGCGTCAGTCTGCTGCTGAGCTGGACGCCATCCTGCAGCACCACCACAACTTGCAGGAGAAACTGGCAGAGGACATGATTAACCTAGCCAGAAACCTGAAGAACAACACTCTGGCAGCACAAAACATCATCAAACAGGACAACCAGGTAGCTTTCTGCTCTACAGGAAGGCTGCTGAACTAAAACGTAAAACAGATTATCATCAGCAGGTTCATTTGAATGAATGATGCTGTGATTTTCTGTGGAAAGACAGAAATTTTACTAAATTTGTGACTTTTAGCAGCACATATCTGGGTGATGTAGGTAAATAAATATAAACCTTTTTATGCTAATTAACAAAAAACAATGTTTATGATTAGATTCTCAAACCCTTTTCTTTTGGCACCAGTTAGTTTTGTTGACTCTGACCACAAGGGGCAGTATGAGACAACTGTACTCATTACAGCTTCTGGACAGAGTTTATTTCCCCTAATATTCCCTTTCTCCTCCCAGACTCTGACCCAGTCCATGCGTCAGGCGGACATGAACTTTGAGAAGCTGAGGAACGAGTCCGAGCGCCTGGAGCAGCACACCAAGAAGTCCGTAAACTGGCTGCTGTGGCTGATGCTCATCCTGGTCTCCTTCACTTTCATCAGCATGATCCTCTTCATCCGAATCTTCCCCAGGCTCAGATGATGACTGAACACAATGTCGAACTCTTATGTTGCGTTTACAAGAGCAACAACTAACTGTGTAGTCCTAAGAGATCCGATTCGAAACCAGAAGAAGCTGGAAGCCCTCTTCTTACTCCTTTGAAACAGCTGTTGTTTTTTTTTTCCTTAACACAACGGGGCATGAAGTGAGATGAAGAGCTACTTGAAGGGGGGAGTCGGGAACAAGTCAAAATGCACAAACAGGAAGTTAGCCTTAATTAGTTTAATCCCTCATCAGTGCGTGAGCTCTGAAGTTAGTTCTTTCCACTGTTTGTCGCTTGGAGCGTTGTTGAACCAGCCACCATCAGATTAACTCCTTCCTGTCTAAAGCATCTTCTAAACATGGGAGGAGTTTCATCCTTAAGCTGCATCTCCTCATTTTACTATAATCATAGCTCCGCTCATCACACTAACTGTTGACTTGTAATGATGCACGTTAAATGGGAGGTTTATGGATCTAATGGTGTGTGTGTGTGTGTGTGTGTGTGTGTGTGTGTGTGTGTGTGTGTGTGTGTGTGTGTGTGTGTGTGTGTGTGTGTGTGTGTGTGTGTGTGTGTGTGTGTGTGTGTGTGTGTGTGTGTGTGTGTGTGTGTGTGTGTGTGTGTGTGTGTGTGTGTGTGTGTGTGTGTGTGTGTGTGTGTGTGTGTGTGTGTGTGTGTGTGTGTGTGTGTGTGTGTGTGTGTGTGTGTGTGTGTGTGTGTGTGTGTGTGTGTGTGTGTGTGTGTGTGTGTGTGTGTGTGTGTGTGTGTGTGTGTGTGTGTGTGTGTGTGTGTGTGTGTGTGACGACGTTAGTTTCTGTTCTCATTAAACAACTGCAACACTGTCTGTTCCTGTTTAAGCACTTCTGTCTTGATGCTTTAGTCAGTAAGTTGACTCACGAGTAAAACAATTCAGTTCCCTAACGAAACTCAGCATGTAGTAACCCCACATGACCACTGTGTGTCAGTCTTGACCTGCGAATACAGACTATGACCCCACTGACCCCTTTGGCCTGAGCAGCACTCAGAAGATTCAAGTTTAGTCTAAAAAAAAAAGGTGTTAAGCTGCAAAAAAAAAAAGCACACAGATGGACTCCATGATGCATTAAGTGGCTGTTTGTGCCTCACTTTTATTAAGCCAACTAGGAATGGGGTACTGGTGCTTGGTTTATTTAATTAATTCAAACTGTAATGAAGCGTAAATGTTACCTCCTACCTGGTGGGAATCTGTGACTGACCAACTTGTTGGGGCTTGCAGCTTGACCTCCCATCCTCCTCGTGGACACCCGCTCACTAGCTGCCTGACGTGTATTTTAGGATCTCTGGGGGTATTTTGCCCACTGGAAGCCATGGTATGCAGGTCACCACGAGACCAAATGAGGCCGTGTCAAAGTGGAGCATCGTCATCCCCTCGGTTTAATCACAGCTGTTTTCAGTCCTTTGTTAGTTCTCTGGCTGTGTGATCTGCAGCACAAACATGACTTCACTCCTGGTGGGGTTTCTCAGCTCCATTAGGGTTTTATTATTCCATCAGCTGAAGGACGCTATGTTTCCAGCAGCCCTCCAGAGCCGGAGATGTCGTGATTCTGCGAGTTCCTGGTGCCAGAAGATGCTTTGGTGGGCTTCATTAAAGGTTCTCTTAACCTTTGACCCAGGAGAGTGGAATGAGATCCTTCCTAGTGGTTTCCCACAGAGATCGGAAAATGTTGTTTGGTCTTCTGCATGTGTTGTGTGTAAATTTGCATTTACAAGCTGTCAGTGGACGTAGAGAAAGAGGAAACTTGATGGTTTCTGAACACGAGGCTTCAATTTTGCGCTGTTCTGTTATTTGGGATTTCTAAAGAGAATTTTTATTTCCTCCACTGGATGGAAGAGTCAAATTAGCTTGACACAAATCAGATGAATTGGAAAGAATTTATAATCCAAAAGGTTTTTCTAATGCATAAATTAATGTATGTCAGTAATCCAATTTAAATGGTGTTACAATGTGAAGGAGGGGGTAACAAACATGGCAGTGGAGGTTTAATTGCCATAAAAGGTTTTTAAAACAAGCGAGCAAACAGATGGAGAGCATTGTTAAAATAATACAAAATGAAAAAGTCTCTATAAGGTCAACAGTTAAAAGACAAGGTATCAACTATATAAAACACCTGGTTAAAACTTTATTAAAAGTTTCACCAACCTGAAGGTGTTTTAAAAACACAACAAAGTTGATAAAAGTCTAAAAACCAAAAGTTAACCTTAAAACACAGTCAACTAAAGTGACACGAACAAAAGATCCTGGGATCTCACAGAGTTAAATCTATAAAAGTTAAAACTCATCAAAAATCAAAGGGGTTTAAACCATCTGAGGCCAGCAGAACCCCTGCACTGCTGCCCCCCAGACTGCTGAAGGCAGCCTTTTTATCCCAGGTGTGTGTCGTCAGAGGACTTCATCTCAGCTGTGCTCCTCAGCAGCCCGGAAGAGAGGAGGAAAGGCGGTGTCGGGCTGATCACCCGGGCTGGGTGATCCCGGCTCCTGCATCCAAATGGCCAGGCTGGTGCCCATAACAAATGGTGAAACTAATATAGACGAAGACTCATTTCACGCAAAGCCATATGTTTTAAAGCTTCATTTGTTATAATTGTGATGAGTTTATAACCCCAAATTCTAAATCCCAGACAATCAGAATATTGTGAAAAGGTTCAATATTTTATACTAAGTGTCACACTCTAACCAGCTAATGAGTCCAGGACACCTGCAAAAGGTCCCTGAGCCTTTAGACGGTCTCTCAGTCTGAGCTGGATTACTGAAATAAATGGACTTTAGCACCATGTTCTAATTTGGCTTGTATTCACTGATATGAACATTTTACTTAGATTAATGAATAGAATGACATTTTTCTTAAACATCTGGGCTTCTACTACAATCCACTTCTTTGTCATATGTTTTCTCTTTCATTTTCGAGCTCCTATGAGCACGACGACAAAGGCTCCAATTAAAGCTCACATCAGCATCTTCCCACCAGTTTGTCGGGAGGTGTGGATCATATTTTAGACTTTGTAACGCATCCAACATCTCACCGAGGAACAGAACGGACTAACATGTCTGCTGCCAGGTCGATAGCTTGTGATCATTTTCACAAGGTAAATTTCTCCTGTTTTCTGTAACTTCTGCAAACTGAGAATCAACTGGAAGTGTCACAACAAGAACCACGCTTTTACACGAATGCACAACATGGTGGGAACTCTCTGATGGAAGGAGTTCAAGACTTTAGGTGAATGCCCAAGGTTTGTTATTTTAACTGACCACGCTGCATTAAAATCTCCTTTTATTGTAACTGCTGATACGTACGCTTCTGTCAGTGTGTGTGTGTGTGTGTGTGTGTGTGTTTTTCTAACTTTTAATTAGTTTAATCCTTCTAAAAGGCAAAGTGAAACACATTTTTCAGCTTCAGAGAACACCTATTCCCTCACAGCCCAGTTAAATGTCTCAACACTCTTTTTAATTTTGACCTCCCCGAGGATTTGGGCTGCCTACTGAGATGAAGGAGATTTTTTCCAAGCACTTCCTTGAGGGAGCAAAGGTGAGAAGGACTTAACTTTTTTTCCATCAACTTATGTGCACAAACACTTTAGAACAGACCACCACAACTGCAATTAAAAAGAAAGCTGTCTTTGTGAGCAATAAGATCAATTTTCTCATGCTGGTGTTTCTTGTCACTGACATAAACAGTTAGAAGCTGATCTGGGGTATGTGTCCTCTGATCAGAGGTGCACCGCTGCTGATTTTAATCTCTCGCCTACGCAGGTGTTAAGCAGGTTTGGAAGCTTTCAGGTTTGCCGTTACCGTTTCCCCCGGCAGCGTCAGCCTCTCTGACAGTTTAGTTTCTGATCTGAGTGTTATGTGTAACTTTTATCTTAAACACTCTTTTTTTTGTGTGTTTTCGTTCATTCATGAGCATTTTAGCTCTGTTTTCAGCAGGGAAACTCAACAACAATTACAAGTTAAAGTTAAAGTTAAAGTCCCATCAGTTGCCACACACACACTGATGTGTGTGTGAAATTTGTTCTCCGCATTTGACCCATGACCTGGGAGAGCGGTGAGCTGCAGACACAGCTGCGCTCAGGAACCATTTGGTGGTTTCACCCCCCATGAGTGTCAAGCAGGGAGGCATTGGGTCCCCCCCTTTTTTTTTCAAAGTCTTTTGTATGACCCACCAGGAATTGAACCCTGATCTCATAGTCTCAGGGCGGACACTCTAGGCCACTGAGCTTGGCAAGCGCATGACACAACACAGGAGAGCCACCTGTTCAGGTCAAGCCTGCAGTCCACCTATACCTGAAGGACAAGGGACACGTTCTGGACAGAGAAGACAGATGGTTTGAGAGAGGAGTAAAAGAAGCTATGTCAAATGTGAAACCCCCACTTTAAATAGGGGAGGGGGGCTTAGATTTCACCTTTCCAGTACCTACACTCAACAAAAATATAAATGCAACACCTTTGTTTCTGCTCCGATTTTTCATGAGATGGACTTAAAGATCTAAAATTCATTCCAGATACACAATATTACCATTTCTCTCAAACATTGTTCACAAATCAGTCCAAATGTGTGATAGTGAGCACCTGTGCTTTGCTGAGATAATCCATCCCACCTCACAGGTGTGCCACATCAAGATGCCGATCTGACATCATGGGTAGTGCACAGGTGTACCTTATACTGCCCACTATAAAAGGCCACCCTGGAATGTGCAATTTTTTGCTTTATTGGGGGTCTGGGGACTCAGAACCGGTCAGTATCTGGTGTGACCACCATTTGCCTCATGCAGTGCAACACATCTTCGCATAGAGTTTATCAGATTGTCAATTGTGGCCTGTGGAATGTTGGTCCACTCCTCTTCAATGGCTGTGCAAAGTTGTTGGGTATTAGTGGGAACTGGTACACGCTGTCGTATACGCCGGTCAAGCACATCCCAAACATGCTCAACTGGTAACATGTCCGGTGTGTATGCTGGCCATGCAAGAACTGGGACATTTTCAGCTCCCAAGAATTGTGTACAGATCCTTGCAACATGGGGCCGTGCATTATCCTGCTGAAACATGAGGTAATGATCATGGATGTACGGCACAACAATGGGCCTCAGGATCTCATCACGGTATCTCTGTGCATTCAAAATTCCATCAATAAAATTCACCTGTGTTCTTTGTCCATAACAGATGCATGCCCATACCATAACCCCACCACCACTATGGGCCACTCGATCTACAACATTAACTTCAGCAAAGCGCTCACCCACTCGACACCACACACGCTGTCTGCCATCTGCCCTGAACAATGTAAACCGAGATTCATCCGTGAAGAGAACACCTCTCCAATGTGCCAGACGCCATCGAATGTGAGTATTTGCCCACTCAAGTCTGTTACGGCAATGAGCTGGAGTCAGGTCAAGACCCCGATGAGGACGATGAGCATGCAGTTGAGCTTCCCTGAGACGGTTTCTGACAGTTTGTGCAGATATTGTTTGGTTATGCAAACCAATTGTTTCAGCAGCTGTCTGAGTGGCTGGTCTCAGACGATCTTGGAGGTGAA